TCTCAATATTTTGAAAATAGGTACAAAATATCTTTAATCGAAACGATTAACTTTTGGCAGAGAATTTCGCCTTATGACAGATACATGGCTTCATTGAATGATATTTAATATCTTTTTAACCAGTTAGTAATTGTATAATATTATTTGGCCAAATATTTCCTGTGTATCTAAACTTTTGCAAATTTTAAACAAATTCTGAATATTATTTCCATATGTTTTTGTCATTTGAATCGACGTGGTTATATATTTCCCATAAAAACACATGTCAATTCGGTGCAAATTAAAATCTTTATAATTTGTGAACGCTTTAGTGAATCGATTTAAAAATTGTACTAAAGATTCTAAACATATGTAAGAACATTTTGTATAATTTTTAAATTCTCAATATTTTAAAAATAGGTACAAAATATTCTTAATCGAAATGATTAACTTTTGGCAGCGAATTTCGCCTTGTGACCGATACATGGCTAACTTTATTCAATTATATTTAATATCTTTTTAATCAGTTAGTACTTGTATAATATTTGACCAAATATTTTCTCTGTATCTAAATTTTTGCAAATTTTAAACAAATTCTTAATATTATTTCCATGTGTTTTTGTCATTTGAATCGACGTGGTTATACGTTTCCCATAAGAACACATGTTAATTCGGTGCAAATTAAAATCCTTATGACTTGTGAATGCTTTAGTGAAATTCAGTGAATCTTCAGTACGATTTAAAAATTGTACTGAAGATTCTAAACATATATAAGGATTTTGTACAATTTTTATTAAATTGTCAATATTTTGAAAATAGGTACAAAACATCCTTAAATTGGATTTATTAATTTAACAGCTACTTGTAATCATTCGATTACTCTTAAAAGAGTCACTCAATACATATTATTTTTTCAATGATTTTTTTTTATTAGCGCTGATAGGATCGCTTCTTATCAAGACTCGAGCAGTGAAATTCCTTAGGGGGAAAAGAATCGATGTAAATTCCCATTACATATACAGGGTGTATCTGAAATAATGCACTAAACTTTAGAAGCGTATTCTAGAGATCAAAATAAGACTTTTTTTTTCTTATGAACATGAGCTAAAATTCGGAAATGTGTGAAATTGATCAAACACCCGCAATGCAAATTTATTTATCTCTCAAGAGAGAGTGATAGATAACGTCAAAATCTTTTTTTTTTTTCTGAAATATATCCAATTTTTAATTTTTTCCCCAAACTTTAGGGGCCACTAGTTTGGAGGGGAGGGTTCATTTGCGGACCCATGTTCATAGGAAAAAAAAGTCTTATTTTGACCTCTAGAATACGCTCCTAAAGTTTAATGCATCATGTCATATACACCCTGTATAAACGCACGAGTATAATGATCGCATGAATTTGCGGGAGACACAATCGGACGACATCGTGTGTACGTACGTACATATATGCGTGAGAAATGGCGCAGCACATCGTGGGGTACAGGGCACTATAGCGCGCTAACATGTGCGGTGGCTGTGTAAACATTGTAAACACTGATCGTGCTTCGCGCAGTGGTTCTCATTGGCTGAGAGATCGCGCTTATGTTTTTGTACGCAGATATCTGCATTATATTAATCCGCACAATTCCACATGTATTCCATATATGATAAATTTCCAATTTGATGAACCCATTCGTTGTTATTAATATAAATAATAAAAAGTCTAAAATATTATAAATACAAATTTGTGCGAGCTTTTTGCCGCAATAGCCACCGCAAACTTTAGAGCGGATTATTCCTTTGACCTCCAGATCAATCCTTTATGAAACTTATAATTATACGATATTAAATTTTTCGCTTATACACTGAGAAAAATCGTTTGATTGTACCAACAAGACGTATATGATTGAAGGCATTTTGGTTAAATCAAACAAGAATTTCTAGTTATCATGATAAGACTCGATTTTTTTATAACTAGAACGTTTAATAGATTTTACTATAAGGATTTGGTTAGTATTTTCTAGTTGAATCTATAAAATTTCTTGTTACATTAATTTCTTTGCTTGCCGTTAGACGGCAAGCCACTCTTAACTTAACACGTATTCAATATTTGCCATGAAATGTATGTAAAGAACTAGTATTAACATTAATTACAAAGTATATTTTTTTTCTCTTACGAGCAATAGTGCCAGAAAGAGGACGCTAGCTTTCTGATTGTGTGTGTTTGAGCTGCATCCTCCTCTTGTATCACTGTTTATCAGTTTAATTTCTAACAAACTGAATTTAAAATAATTTATTCAATAATCTGGATTGAATTTATCCAATAATCTTGTTGGATTCAAAATATTAAACAGACTTTTGAGATTAGATGGAAAAAATTTTAGACGATTTGATGCTGGTGAGTTTAGTATTATTAATCAGAAAATTTGGTAAATTTAACAGGAAGAAATTAATCAGATTCATCTGGTAATTCCTACAAAAATACTGGTTCGTCCATTTTCCAACAGACATGCTCTGGTTGAATCTACCAGAATTCTAATTAATGCAACCAGATTTTTTTCTCAGTGTACTGTTTATCAGTTTAATTTCTAACAAACTGAATTTAAAATAATTTATTCAATAATCTGGATTGAATTTATCCAATAATCTTGTTGGAATTCAAAATATTAAACAGACTTTTGAGATTAGATGGAAAAAATTTTGGACGACTTGATGCTGGTGAGTTTAGTATTATTAACCAGAAAATTTGGTAAATTTAACAGGAAGAAATTAATCAGATTCATCTGGTGATTCCTACAAAAATACTGGTTCGTCCATTTTCCAACAGACATGCTCTGGTTGAATCTACCAGAATTCTAATTAATGCAACCAGATTTTTTTCTCAGTGTACTGTTTATCAGTTTAATTTCTAACAAACTGAATTTAAAATAATTTATTCAATAATCTGGATTGAATTTATCCAATAATCTTGTTGAAATTCAAAATATTAAATAGACTTTTGAGATTAGATGGAAAAAATTTTAGACGACTTGATGCTGGTGAATTTAGTATTATTAACCAGAAAATATGGTAAATTTAACAGGAAGGAATTAATCAGATTCATCTGGTAATTCCTACAAAAATACTGGTTCGTCCATTTTCCAACAGACATGCTCTGGTTGAAACTACCAGAATTCTAATTAATGCAACCAGATTTTTTTCTCAGTGTACACATTGCTTTTTATAATATTGCAATGTTTTAAACGAGTATTAACAGAATTTATGATTAACATAAAAAATATAATTTTGCTTTACGACTATCGACAATTCGATCGAAGTCTTAATAATCCTCGCGTAAAATGTATCATCTTGAGTTTCTTTTCGCAGCGCGCTTAAGCTCGACAATCCCGTGAATTTATGAGCATGTATGCCCTTAATTTTGCCTTAACTACTTTCGCCGAGATTGGAAAATCATTATTTTCATCAAAATCGACCGTTATTAATTTCATAAAATTTTCACGAATGAAGCGAACGTGATGACTCGCGTTTAAGCTAATGGTGGATGAGAACAGTTGGATAGTCACGTTTTGGGACACGCATTTTCGGCCAGAACATCGCGATCGATTCCAAAGAGGATTAAATGAAACTAACTGGAAAAAAAGCCCCAATGCGTTTTCATCGCTTTATTAATACACGCGATTATCGAAACTAATTATTTCTCGTACGATTGAATTATTATTGGATCATCAGTGTAATTACAATTATATTTTTAGCGTGCGACACGATAATCTAGACTTTGTGACATTTATGGATCCTTATACGTGGCGCACAAGCAGGATTCTGCAATTTAAAAACAAACGTTACGCAATCGCTGAACGAACCAAAGGAATCGAGAGGAAGAAATGAAGATAATTTCGCGAAAATTGTGGCGCAGATGATGTAAAGAGCAAACTACAGTAGTGGGCGTGTACAGATGCAAATGCGATTCCTCAAATAAAATCGCGAGAGAAATAATTGAAATGACACTCACTCTCTAAAAGTGAATCAGTGAAAATATCACTAATTTAAACAGTAAAATAAGATTTCACTGAGAATCAGTATTTTACTGATCTTCAGTGGAAACGCTTATTTTTTTGTTATTTTATCCTATATCTCACTGATTATGGTCAGTTAAAATAAAATTCACTGTAAAATCAGTAAATTTTACTGTAAAACCAGTAATCGTTAGTTCGTTCATTTACCGTTACAATCGCTATCTCTCTCGTATTTAATTTTAGTTATAAGAATTATATAAAGTTTGCAAAGAGCGACATTTAAAATTAGAAGTATTACTTCGATTTAATTTCTGATACAAGCTCAATAGAGAGGCTTCAGATTTTAAATCGATCTTTATAAGTCGGACAAATAAATATCTGGCGACTTGATGAAAATTATTCGTTCGTTATCTATTTAAAATAACAAGTTCGATACGCATGTAATATAAATAAAATAAAATTTTTAATACAATAAATATTTAGTCAATATAAATAAAATTTTTAATTTTACATGAAATAGATAGAGAGATGAATTGTAGCTTAATATTAACTGACAATAACGAAAGAAATATGACTGATATTGAGAAATATTACTGATTGAAACAGTCAAAATTATTAACTGATTCTTTCAATAAAATATCACTGATTTACAGTGCTGTACTTATAACTGCTGTAATCAGTGACTATTTACTGTTTTTCAGTGATAATACACTGATTCACTTTCAGAGAGCACAGACTGAAATATCAAGCGGACGAATCCGTGTGTAAACATTGCACGGGCAAAACTCGCGAAGGAAAAAGCCGAATTCGTCACGTTCTCTTTTCGTTCTCGACGCAATTTGCGCGCGTGAAATTCAGACAGTCTATTCAGAAAGCAAAACTCGTGATGCAACCAGTCGCCCGAGGCGATTGTCCCGAAGACTTCTTCTGTATTTCGCGCGCGAGAAGGTCGATGAGTTATTCGCGAAGGTGAAGTCCGTTTCGTTTCGCGACGTGTAACGCAAACAAGACGAGGAGAGGCTGACTCACCGGAGGATAATCGAAGTCTGGGGAAGACGAGACTTCCAGGACATAATCCATTCTACTCTGGTTCGCCGGGTCCTCCAACGTAACGGGCGGCGTTAACGTGCTCATCGCAGTGGTTATCGTCTGCAACAAAAACGATGTATTTATTTATGACATGGTGATGACACACGCTAGAATACGTCCACCTTTTTTTCCTCAAACATTTTTCCGCCGAATTTCAATAAATGTATAATTCAAATAATTTTATTTGAAAGAATTCTTTTATATATATTGTAGGCAAAATATGTATTGTTACATATGTTGTTATAGTGTAATATTGTTATAATATTATATTGTTATATATATTGTTATAATATTATATACAGGGTGTCGCAAAAGTCCCGGACTGGTCGAATATTTCATAAACTATACACTTTAGAAAGAAATGTTTCAGACAAAAGATGTATGGCTTGAAGGGGAAGCCTCCTAACTCAAAAAGTACTCAATGAAGAAATACTTTATTATAGTGTTTTGGAAAGCTCTCGAGATAAGCTACACGAATATGTAATGAAAAAGAGGGAATTACATTTAAGAAATTGACGGTGATCTTCACGTGACTTTCAAATGACTCTCCCATGTCAAATCATTGCCACTATCTGATGGCCCCCTTCAAGCCATACAACTTTTGTGTGAAACATTTCTTTCTAAAGTGCATAGTTTATGAAATATTCGACCGGTCCGGGACTTTTGGGACACCCTGTATATGTTATAATATTGTTATTGTTATATATATTGTTATATAATTGTTATATATATTGTTATAAAAAAAAACTGAAGATGAAATGAATTATTTTTATGATGAATCATATGTATCCCTCGTATGATTTCAAGTTTCTAATTTAGGTAATTAATTATATTCACTGAGTATACATGTATTGTGTAACAAGAATTACAGATTAACGTTACATTAGACGAGACAAGACAAGGATTAATTGCGACTTACTGCACATAACGGTACTTTTCATTCATAAGCGATAAAATTTATTGTACTTTACGGTCGCTTCTCATTCATAAAAGCGATATAATTCAATAAAGATGTAAAAATGTATATCTCTTCATAAAGATATACACCTCTGATATTCTTGCGCGAAGAGAGCGTCTTAATTTTTTTATTACGCCGGTTCGTTTAGTAATTGCCATCACGTTGTTAATTACTTGGTAAGAATTTCGTATGCAAGGAATAATTGGATGTGCGGCGTAATTTGCTTTAATACAGTATAGCGTACGGAAGTGGCTGCATTTTGCATAGAGGTTACACATAATTCAAGCGAACAGCTAAATGCGTATTCGGATGACAAATCGGTGACAATACTCCTCCGTTTCAATTTGATATCGCGAATTTGCGTGTCACGTAACGGTTACGACGAGTTATTTCGAGCGCAACAATGTATACATCTAATATAATTGGATACGGAGCAAACGTGGAATTCGTAATGTGGCATTGACGAAAATTTGACTGCATTCAAACTACTGTATCGCTATGAAAAAAAGCCGAGAAATAGGTAAAAAACCTCGTGAATTTTATCTAATTTTGAATTAATAATTATATATAATAATTATATAATAATTATATATAAATTATATATAAATTACATATATTTTGTATATATTTATATATTTATTTATAATTTATATTATAATATATATATAATATATATATATATATATAATTATATATATAATTTATAATTTATATTAATTATATATATTTTATATATATTTATTTTTTAAATTATATATATATTTATATAAATTTATATATATATTATATATATATTAATTATATATATATTTATTATATATATATTTATATAAATTTTATATATATTGTATATAAATTATATATATATATATATATATATATTTATATAAATTTTATATATATTATATATAAATTATATATATATATATATATATATATATATATAATTATATATAAATTATATATAATAAATTATTATATATAATTATATAATATAATATAATAATCAATATTTAAGTATATAATTTATATATTAATTTATTATATATTTTATATATTAATATATAATATTAATATGTAATAATTAATATATAATATATCATATATAAATTAATATATAATATTAATATGTAATAAAATAGTTATATATATTATGTATTATTATCTATAATAAATTTTATATATAATTTTCTACTAAATATTTATTCTAAATTAAATTGTACTAAATTTTTGATTAAATTTATTCCGTCAAAAAATGACTTTTGTAATTATTATGAAAATAGTGTCTTTTTTAATTTTAGTTTTGAGCAATAGATATGAAATTTTCACGCAAAAGCATAAAATTTGATGTACGCTTACCAAGATGGCGTCCCTAATGTTCTTCTTAATGTCTTCGATCTTTTGCCGCTTCTCCCTGCGAACACAAGGACACGTCAGATATTAGTATCATTAGAAACTCGGCGCCAATTCATTGTCGACCGCGTAATTAAATGTGACGATTAACAATGAATTGCACAGATGTAGCGTAAGATCGAGCAGTCGATGCGATCGAGTCACGTGCTGGATGAAAACGAACAGCCGCGTGTGTTGCTTTTAACCGTATATTTTCAGAATAATTTGATAATTTTAGCAGCGATCGAGCGGCTACTACCATGTGTTTGGAAGAGCGCAACTTGAATTCATGGCCGATATGTGAAAACTCTGTATTTCTGGAGCATTTCGTTTTCAGCAGACATTTCGACCAAGAGATAAACCTTTTTCGTCCGGGATGCAAACTAAAAGAGATCCGGCGAAAGATCACAAGCTCGTCGCTGGGTCGTAAAAAAAGGAGTCGCATCGGGAGGTATTGATCGAGAAAGAAATCATCGCGAAATAAGGGACTTTCCACTGCGTTATCAGCATTTAAGACAAAATTTACGACACACGCGAACCGAGTCGTTTGTTTACATATCGTTTTCATCGTCTATTCAGTAGTCGCTGACACTCGTACATTTATAATAGGAACTCCAACAATAGTATCTCACCTCGAGAATACGAAAGTACATTATTGGTTTTTTTTGTTTTAACGAAGAGAAATTATTTTACCCGAATTTCGTCAAATTGATATATGTATTTTATTTTATTTCGACGGATATATTATCGGAGAGAATCTTTGGTACCAAGATTAGAAATACACGAATCTTTGAATTTATATAAATCAAGTTCGTTAAACACGAAAGATTGTTTTTTTTTGTTTTAACGCAGAGAAATTATTCTACCTAAATTTCGTAAAATTGATATATGTATTTTATTTTATTTCGATAGATATATCGGAGAAAATCTTTGGTGCCAACATCAGAAATAAACGAATCCTTGAATTTGTATAAATAAAGTTCGTTGGACACGAAAGATTGATTTTTTGTTTTAACGCAGAGAAATTATTTTACCCAAATTTCGTAAAATTGATATATGTATTTTATTTTATTTCGATAGATATATCGGAGCGAATCTTTGGTACCAAGATTAGAAATACACGAATCCTTGAATTTGTATAAATAAAGTTCGTTGAACATGAAGGATTGATTTTTTTATTTAACGCAGAGAAATTATTTTACCCAAATTTCGTAAAATTGATATATGTATTTTATTTTATTTCGATAGATATATCGGAGCGAATCTTTGGTGCCAACATCAGAAATAAACGAATCCTTGAATTTGTATAAATAAAGTTCGTTGAACACGAAGGATTGATTTTTTGTTTTAACGCAGAGAAATTATTTTACCCAAATTTCGTAAAATTTGTATATGTATTTTATTTTATTTTATTTCGACGGATATATCGGAGAGAATCTTTGGTACCAAGATTAGAAATACACGAATCCTTGAATTTGTATAAATAAAATTCGTTGGATGCGAAAGATTGTTTTTTTTTGTTTTAACGCAGAGAAATTGTTTTACCCAAATTTCGTAAAATTAATATATGTATTTTATTTTATTTCGACGGATATTATCGGAGAGAATCTTTGGTACCAACATCAGAAATACACGAATCCTCAAATTTATATAAATAAAGTTTGTTGAACATGAAAGATTGGTTTTTTTGTTTTAACGCAGAGAAATTATTTTACCCGAATTTCGTAAAATTGATATATGTATTTTATTTTATTTCGATGGATATATATCGGAGAGAATCTTTGGTACCAAGATTAGAAATCCTTGAATTTGTATAAGTAAAGTTCGTTGGACACGAAAGATTGGTTTTTTGTTTTAATGCAGAAAAATTATTTTACCCCAATTTCGTAAAATTGATATATGTATTTTATTTTATTTCGATGGATATATCGGAGAGAATCTTTGGTACCAAGATTAGAAATCCTTGAATTTGGTACCAAGATTAGAAATCCTTGAATTTGTATAAATAAAGTTCGTTGGACACGAAAGATTGGTTTTTTGTTTTAATGCAGAGAAATTATTTTACCCCAATTTCGTAAAATTGATATATGTATTTTATTTTATTTCGATGGATAAATTATATATCGGAGAGAATCTTTGGTACCAACATTAGAAATACACGAATCCTTGAATTTATATAAATCAAGTTCGTTAAACACGAAAAATTGGTTTTTTGTTTTAACGCAGAAAAATTATTTTACCCGAATTTCGTAAAATTGATATATGTATTTTATTTTATTTCGACGGATATATCGGAGAGAATCTTTGGTACTAACATTAGAAATACACGAATCCTTGAATTTGTATAAATAAAGTTCGCTGAACACGAAAGATTTATATCTTATCGTAAATTAGCGAAACAAGATATCAATCATGTTATGATAATAATCATGAATCATTAATAAATTAACAATCTAAAAAAATGGCATAAATACAAATGTGAAAAAAGGTAATCACACTGAAGGAAAAAAAAAGAAATCACGCGGAAAGCTATATACCGGCTAAACAAAATCAAAGTTCTTCTTTAACGAGACAAGAGTGGTGTTCGATAAAATAATTTAAAGGATGTTTTTAACATCGTAACAGAGGTGTAAACGTTGGTTGTGACGAAAAGCGAAGATGGTAACCGCAAATAAATAACGCCAGACATAATAAGCACGTCTGGTGGAAAAATATGAAAGGAAAAAAAGCAATACTATAAAACTGTATCGGAGAACCACGTGTATATTTGTATGTCTACACAGAGAAAAAATGTATACTGTGTTCAAGTAAATATTATTTATTTTAAGTATATATCATAAGCTTGTATATATCATAAGCTATCATAACTTATGATATATCCGCAAATATATCATAAGTTCATCACAAGCATTAAATTTAATTAAATATATTCTGAATTTTAGTGACTGCATTTTAGTCAAGAATATTAAATTAAAAATTTGGTTTGTTTATTGTATAAACTTGGCGTAAAATAAGTTTGATTTTTCCTTGACACATGTTTACAATATTCTTGAAGAGAAAATAAATTCTTCTTTTGAGCACATGATAATGAGATTTTCTAGCACTTATGATGAGTATATTTTAAGACTATTATCAAGAATATATTTTTTGTTGAAAAACACTATTATTTAAAAAAAAGAAAAAAAAACTAATCGCTTTTCTTGGCAGTAGAATGATATTTTTCTCTGTGTATGATAGGCATACGCGCTGATATCACTAATGCATCGTTTACGAAATGAGTCATTCGCGCTGAAAAACTAATCATGCTAATTACATATTACGCTGCAGTTCGCGATTCGACTTCACGCAATTCATCCTCGCTCGATTCGAATCGCGAAAAAAAAAACGGAATAAATCTCGAAGAGAAGAATTAAGGAATATTCGAAATCAGATAACTCTAAAGATAAACATTGATGACAGATCCCGCGAATAGTTCCCCCTCTCGAGGACCATTTCATGACTCGATGATTAAATTCGATAGCAAAAAAAAAAACACTTGGACGCGAAGATTCAATACACATTCAGCGCCAATTTTGTGTCTCGTAAACGATCTGCGTGAATACGATTGCATTCCGCGATTTAATTGTAAAATCGTCACTTACATCGCGATTTATTTTCTAAACCCTTCGTTTCTCGAAGATTAAATGTGTAATTTGCAATTAACAATTTATTTTTCGAAACAATTATGTGTTTTCTTTACACGAATCGATTCCTCTCATTATTTTGTACATAAAAGTATCGAGGTAAGATAATCGAAAAATGAATATTTTACTAGATATTTTAGGATTTATGTAAAAATTGAGAAATTATTTCTTTATATTTTATGATTTATGTAATTGAGAAATTATTTCTTGATATTTTATGATTTATGTAAAAATTGAGAAATTATTTCAAGCTTCATAACTCGAAAAATACTCAATGAAAAAATACTTTTGCGTATAATTTATTTAATTACAGCAATATTGCTGCAATGTTACAACAATGTTCTGTGCTGTATGGGTTGTAATTAAAAAAAAGAAAAAAAAAGAAAAAAAAGAAAGAAAAAAGAATCCTCAGGGAAAACAAAGGAGCGATTACCTTAGTTTTCAATGGGTTAACGACACATCGTCGGATTGGAACGGACGATGGGGACCTAACCGGACGCGACCGATCGCACGTGTTTATCGCCGCTTTTAAAAATAAAACTTACGCTTCGCTGAAACCATTGACGTGCAGTATCCTCATCTGTTTGACGATCGTGCTTTTGCCGGACTCTCCCGCTCCTGAAACAGGTGGCGAAAATCGTCAGTTCGTTAATTCCTTCCTTTTTTTGCGTTTTTCGATCTCCTCTCACCAGCAAAATTTTCTGCGCGCGATGACAAGTGTGTGAAAAAAAATATATATAATTTGCAATTAACAATTCCATATTTTTTCTTAAAAACAAACTGTATGTTTTCTTTACACCAATTGATTTCTCTCATTATTTTGTACATAGAAGTATTAAGGTAAGATAATCGAAAAATGAATATTTTTTACAAGATATTTTATGGTTTATGTAAAATTAAGAAATGATTTCAAGCCTCATAACTCGAAAAGTACTTGATGAAAAAATGTTTATTTATAGTGTTTTGGAAAGCTCTCGAGATAAGCTACCAGAGTACGCAAAAATATATAGGGTGTTCCATTTAAGAAATTTAAAATGATCTTCACGTAACCTTCATGTGACTCTTCAAGGTCAAACTAATGATACCACCTTATGTCCCCCTTGAAACCATACAACTTTTGTCTGAAACATCTTTTTCTAAAATTAAAAATAAGAAAGTTATTTGGGGTGGGACATTAAAATGGGACACCCCAATGGAACACCCTGTATGTGTAAATAGATATCGTCGACCGCGAAATCGAGATTTCAGAAGCCGTGACATTATCGATCATCCGATAACGTAATCGGCGTGTCGCGACACATGGCAAACGCAGCGAGAATCGCGCCATAATTTTTACGTATAATTTATTTTATTTTATAAATTTGCTGGCACGAAAGTCCATTTAAGACGGATTTTTCTGAAAGTGACGCACAAAATCGTCACTTACATCGCGATCTATTTCCTAAACCCTTCGTTTCTCGAAGATTAAATGTGTAATTTGCAATTAACAATTTTTTTTTTCGAAACAATTATGTGTTTTCTTTACACGAATCGATTCCTCTCATTATTTTGTACATAAAAGTATGTAAAAATTGAGAAATTATTTCTTGATATTTTATGATTTATGTAATTGAGAAATTATTTCTTGATATTTTATGATTTATGTAAAAATTGAGAAATTATTTCAAGCCTCACAATTCGAAAAGTACTCAATGAAAAAATATTTTATTATAGTGTTTTGACAAAACTCTCGAGGTAAGACCTTTGTTTTGACAACAGATAGTCCTGATACCCTGCATAATTAAATTTGAAAAAATGTTACATACCACTAACTATCCCTTTTTTCTTATATGGCACTCGTGCGTTACTTTTCAACGTTAAATATCGTCGGCGTTTAACCCGTCAAAAACACACCCACCGCAAATCAAGCGAAAGAAAAAGTTTGCAAGTTTAATCTCAGAACTCTTGCAGTTTTCAACATTAATTACTCGACTAAGTGCAAACTCGATTAAAGGAAAAAAATCACGCGGAGAAATTGTATAAATATTACACAAGAGAGGAGCACATAAAAAAAACTGCTCAAAGTTGAGCGTCCATATAATTAGACGTTTAATCTTATGCATAACGCTGATTATATGCTCGTGTGTGTGTGTGTTTTCACAGTCCATCGATGTAAATGAGATGCAGGTGAATGGGATGTACGTGAATCCCCTCTCGCCCTGCATTTCAGATTTTTATTTTATTATTATTAATAATATTTTATTATTATAATAATAATATATAATTATTATTAATTAAATATTATTAATTATTATTAATAATATTTTATTATTATTATAATAATATATAATTATTATAAATTAAATATTATTAATTATTATTAATAATATTTTATTATTAATATTATTTTAAGAGACGCTCGGGGGGAATAATTTTGACATATTTTTCAAAGTTTTTTTAAAATTTTGCATCTCCATCGCTCGGCAACCTATCGATTCCAACTTTAAGAGCTTCTGAGAGCTTCATGGCCGAATCGCATGTGCAACAACAGCTAACGGAGGCCAATCGGCCGCGCGTTTCGCGCGGCTTTAATGACACGCGAGGGGAGGGACAAACAATACGGCAACAGCTGTTGCTTCGTCGTCGACGAGGACACGACGGCGACGACGATGACGGCGCGTTCGCATCGAATTAGAACGACGACCTACATAAACGCCGGATAATAGGAAGGCGATACGACGGGGCGCCGGGTTAAGCGTCGCGCTAAAGTAGCCACATCGTGTCGCGCACGCGTGTATCGAGAAGCAGTAGATGAACACGTAGATGAAATGGGGAGAGAGACGGGGAGGAAATGTAGGGAGAGAGAAAAGAGAAAATAACACCTTTTGCAGCTCGTAAAAATTTGGCAAATTAATGAAATAAATCACGTTCTAAAAGCATTATATACAGGGTGTCACTTAATTGGCGCCCACTATTTATGTATAGCGATATTCGACTCGTGGAAAACTGAGTCGGAAAGTCCTGAACCATTTTTTTCTACAATGCTTAATAAAGCGGGAATTATTGAGTAAAGTTGCGCCAATAAGAACCTCCTTGAAATTTTCTTTAAGGAAACGCTTTTAACGGAAGAAATAGGATTTTTAATGCAAAATCAAGTTTTTCGCATTATAGAAGAAAGGAAGGTTTCACAAAAATGGTTTCAAATTTTTTTCATTACAGAAAAAAATGGTTCAGGACTTTTCCACGAGGAATATCGCTATATAAATAATGAGCGGCAATTAAGTGACACCCTGTATATTTATTTATTTATTTATTATAACGTGTAAAAGAGGCTATATTATATAATCAACGATAAATCAATAAAGTGTACCAGAGGAATAAAAAGCAAAAAAAATTGCAATGAATGAGATATATGTGTGTATATACAGGGTGTCCCAGACTTAACGAATCAGCAGTTAATGGCAGATTCTTGAGATCAGGATTTGGAGACGAAAATTCCAATACCAAAATATTGAGGAAGACTTTATAAAAATGTTTAAACTACTGACTACTGTCAAAGGCACAATCGCGCTCACTGCAGAATCCCATTTTTTATTTTATATCGATCCCTCTATCGATATCGATCTTATCGCGCTGTACACGGGCCCCTTAATACATGTCCCGAGCACAGGAGAATGTAACGCGCTGATTGGTAACCTTCAATCTTTTATAGCGCCGAAACTACATCTTCCTCAACATTTTGATATTAAGATTTTCGCTTCCAAATGATCCCAGGAATCTACCATTAACGGCTGATTCGTCAAGTCCGGGACACCCTGTATGTATAGAAAAAAATATGAAAATACACATATGTAAATATTGTTCAAAATTAATCGTGACATCAAACAATTGAGTTTGTCAACAAGATAGACTGAGAAGAATAATCGTATGACTCTTAGACATGTTTATAAAAATAGACAGAGGAGAGAAGATGAGAGATATTTATTTTGCTCCATAATTTCTGGCGAAGTGGACAGCTTCCCTGAAAGTTACACGAGCCAAGGTGACTGACAATTTCATATAAGAACAGAATGTTTTTTTAGAGTTAAAAGACCACATGCACACGAGGCAAGCAAGAATGGAGGCAAAGAGGAAAGGGAAGATATATATATATATATATATATATATATATATATATATATACAGGGTGTCCCAAAACTCATAATCAATCTTTCAAAGACAGATTCCTGGGATCATTTCGAGACGATTTTTGCTCAATGAAAATATCGATGAAGGTCATCATTTTTTGTATGTTCCCAATTTTTGTCATCATATATCTTTGCAATTAAGTCTTAAATTAAAACTCAACTAAAGTAAACTCCATTTAAAATTAATCGAAAAATGTGGTTTTGTTAATATTTTATTTCTACAAAGCTTAGTTTACGAAAAACCCCTTGTTTCCAATCACTTATAATTCGAAAATTATTAGTGCCTCGACATTTTCGTTGAGGAAAAATCGTCTTCAGATGATCCCAGGAATCTGTCTTTGAAAGATTGATTATGAGTTTTGGGACACCCTGTATATATACATATACATATACATATACATATATATATATATATATATATATATATATATATATATATATACATAATGTGTGAAAGAGACGAGGCTCGACGAAAAGGGTACAAACACGAGGCCGATGGATATTGGTGGGTGCCTGGCTCGTACGATAATCGATAAAATTGAATCACGCACCGCTGAACATCGCGATAGTGCGGCTTGCCCTCGGCCTCGCGAAGGCTCTCTTTGTCCGAAACCGACGACCATCGGGGCCCTTCCCGCGTTTAACGCGTCACGGTTCACCAACGCGACGAATGGAGAACACCCGGGATGGGGGGGGGGGAGGCGATTATCTTCGGGGCGCACGACGAAAGAAAAAAAGAAAAAAAAAATCAAAAATCTCACCTCGTTCGAGAAGGAGCTTTCGTTGGATTCGACGTGAAAATGTCCAAAATTATATTGTCTAAAATTAAAATAAAAATGAAAGAAAGGGCGAAGCGACTCACCGAGCAAGAGTAACCTGTGAGTGGCGCGATAGACCTGCTTGTCCTTCTGCAGCTGCCTGGTGATGGCGTCGGATCGCCTCTTCTGATTCTTGCTGTCATCCTGGCTGGCCTTGCTGCTCTGGCTGCCGAAACACCCCATGACACACCACGGGAAGGACACGCGTGGCTCGCCCTCTCCGTTTTTCCCTTCCACGTCTACCGGCCCGTTGCCTTCCCGGGTCGCGTTGGCGACGACGTCGACGGCGTCGGCGGCGTCGGCGGCGGCGATGGCGGTGGTGCCGGCGTTGACCGAGAGGGCGGACGACCGGGATCCGGATCGGGACGGACGACGGCGGCCCGCGATCGAGTTAGTCGCGTGGGCGAGAGCGGGGGTGGCGGGGGAGGCGGCGGGGGCAGGGGGGGCGGCGAGGGGGGCCGGGCGACCGGCGCCGACGTCGACGTCCGCGACGTCGTCGTCCGCGACGTTGCTCTCCGCGTCGTTGTTTACGGGCCGGCCGCGGGTCCGTCGCGGTTCGAAAAGCGCCCCGTGTCCCGCCGCGGTAAGCTCGCTCCCGTTCCGCGAGTCCCGCCGTCCGCCGTCCGCCGGTTCCGCCGTTCCGTTCGTCTCGGCCGCTCTACCGGGTGTCGCGTTCGCACGCCCGCGCGCGCGCGCGCGCGCGCTCCCCTCGGCCGATCGACGTCCCTCTCGCGGGTGAGACACGGGAGACCCGCCTCTTCCCCTCGCGGCCGGCGATGGAGATTCTCCCTCGGTCCTCCTGTCAAAGGCGATCTCGTCTCGCTCTACTTCTCGCTCTACTTCTCGCTCCTTCGCTCTCTCTCTCTCTTTCTCTCTCTCCTTCCTCTCGCCCCGTCCTTCTCGATTATACCCGATGCGCGGAAATCACTCGGAGCGACACTCACGAGCACACTTCACGGCTGCCTCTATCACTGGCGGCCTCCACCAGCCGCGAAACCATCATAACCATCGCGCACCATGAGCTCGGCGCTCCGCTCGCCGGGCGACTGAGAGAGCCCCGTGTTGCGCTTCTCTCTTTCTCTCTCTCTCCCCCCCTCCCTTCCTCCTTTCCTCCCCACCACCTCTCTCGCTCGCGCTCGCGTCGATGAAAGAGAGAGAGAGCGCGAGAGGACGGTGCCGTGAAAACGTCGGTGACGTACGATGACGTCGACGTCGACGTCGATGGCGACCGGGCCCGAGACCGACGTGGACAGCGGCACCGAGAGCGCCGGTCGTTCCCGTCACTGGCGCGCACTCGCGTCGAGGAAAAACACACGGGAAAACAATGCGCGTGTCGGCACTGTCTTTCCGTCGTTATCTGTCTGTCTGTCTATCTGTCTCTCTCTTTCGTCGCGAGAGATACGGGAGAGCGAGAGCGAGAGCGAGAGAGAGAGAGAGAGAGAGGATCGAGCGAGACAGATATGTACACGCGAATTCAATTCTTGATAGACTCGGTATAAGACACACGACTCGGCGGAGATGACGTTGATAGATCGAGTCCGCCTCCGCGAGGCTCGCGCTCGTCCCCGGGTCGCTTCGCCAAACGGTAGTCGACCGCCGCGAGCTGGACGACCTGGACGTTTACGCGCTGTTGCGCTGGCCAGCCGATCCTCGCCGGCTACCTCTACCTCCTCTCCTCGTCCTCTTGTTCACGAAAAAGACCTCGCGACGATTGTCGTCCACGAACGTTCTCCGGAGGACTCGTCTTTCTCTCTCTCTCTCTCTCTCTCTCTCTCTTTCACGGCGCCTCCTTCCTCAGCGCCCGTCGTAGGCTCCTCGCTTTTTCGAGGGCTCGCTGCTCTCCGGGACCCCCTTCCTGCCTTCTCCTCTTCTTCCTCTTCCAGCACCGTCGTCTCCTTCTACCCCGGCGCCCCTCCTCTTCCCTCGCCGAGAGCTCCTCGTCGACGACCGCAGCAGCAGCAGCAGCACTCAGGGAACTCGCACCCTCGCGTGCCTTCTCTCGCGCCGCTTTTACACATACGCAACCCTCCGGGAGGTCTCGCGCCCTCGCCGGCCTCTCTCTCGCCACCCGCGCTTCCCCCGAACCGAGTTCGACTCTCCTCACTCAAGTATCCCCGAGGAAACTCGCGACCGAAACGTTCGAGGCGAGATGCTCCCTGCAGCCAACATGTCGTCTGCTACACGACCACCAGCGCAGCGTTCACCGCGCTACAGACGGCCTCAGGTTCGTACTCGGAGCTGGAGATGCCCTCTTCCCCTTGGAGCCTCGTCGTCGAGCGCGAAAAGTTTCACGCTCGTAATAGGCGCGATTTCACGATACTTCTTCCTCTACAGATTTAATCGCATCTTGGAATAATATATCTCCCGATCACGCGTATCTTGCCGAGATTCTTTGACGGATGATTTTGGGAGGAATGTACGTCGAGTTGCCTGGAAACGCGGGAGAAGGATACGCCAGGGTGATTCTTCCACATTCTCGGCTTTGGATAGTGGTTGTAGGGTTCGGAGGATGTCGCGGGTCCTTTTTCAAGATACTCGGGGCTCGTCCACTCGGTGCGACGTTCATGCGCTCTACGAACGCCAGCCGAGGATCGATCGGGTCTCTTCGTCCGCGAGTATTGAAGCATACAGGTGCCGTCGATGATTCTCTCAATGTGTCACCAGCTCGTTCATCAGCGATTCCAAGTTACTCCGCACGAGCATCTTCGCTTTCGAGTCTTTCGAGCGAGGATGTATCGAATAAAAAGGATAACAAGGATAATGGCAAAAGAATAATTACCTCGCTATTTTGTGTACAATTGCAAAATGTAAACAATACTCGATTCGTCTCTTATCTTCCTCTTACTTGTATATAATTGCGTCAATATTGTTTACTTCTCTCATCTTAATCAACAGTTACTTAACAAGATACGACATACTTGAAATTTACCCCTTCCATTTTTGCTATAAAGCCAAGAAATTCAATCGTATTCCCTCATTTCATCGTTTCAAAATTTACAAACATCTTATATTTTGCTTTTATTGCACCTACAATGTATTATGTATGACGGTACTTTTTCATATCTTTGAAACTTTATCTCGGTAGACTTTTATTCCTTTTATAAATTTCAGCTTGTCTCTCCAGTTTGTTACATATGAAATTTTTCCTTAAATTTTATTGTAAAATATTTCTATTACTTCCACTTACTCACGCATGTATCTTCATTTTTTATTTTTTACAATTTTCCACAATGTTTATAATTTTATTGAACTATTTTTTATTATTCATTTTACTCGTGCTGTGGATCATATTTCATGTTATATCGCTTCAAATATTATATACATTTATCTCAGATTTTCCAGTGAGTTTTATATACAAATTTATTTCTTTATTATTGATTAGAATAAACATTACATCACGCTAGTTACAAGTATTTTTTGTTGCAAATATGCATAAACATATAATATATAGACTTTGCTAAGTTGTACAAATTTTAGGAGACAACATGCTTTCGTGGAGAAGAAAGAAACTACCGCAAACATAAGCTCTCTCTTTCTAAATTTTTACATTGCCGAAACCAAAGAAAAAGAGAAAACTATAAATTTATATATTATGTCTATGCAAATGTGTTAAAATTGTCACATATTTACTGCACAGTACTTTGTATAAAATAAAGATAAAATTGAAACGAGCCTAGAATTGACAATAATTCGGCCGCCTTTTGATTTAATTTATACGTACTAAAAAAATCTTTGTGTCAAGTTGATTATATATTGTTTTCTATAAATTGTTTTGTACAATTTAATCGTATTAATAACGACGATAAAAAGATGATTCATTTCAAATATATTTAGATATTTTTTCTCATGCAATACTTATGCTTTTTGTCCTTCATTTCTATAAATAGATGCTTCCAAATCAAATGCATTCTGTTTAAATATTTACGCATCATAATTCTGGAAAAAAAAAAAAAAAAAAAAAAAAAAAAAAAAAAAAAAAAAACTGACAACTCGTTATCAACGAATCCATTGAAATATCTAACGATTTGAAAACTGTTTGACACATGCCAGAAATGCCCATCTATGAAAATGAAGGTTCAAATATCTATTATTATATCTATTATCTAGATATTAAAATTGAATTACAATTGTATACCATACTCCCAAATTATGCAAACGTAATTTGTTTTGGAAAGAAATCGAATTTGCTTAAAGTACTATATAAATATTGCAAAAATATCGTTTTATAAATTGCATTTTATATAATTATATAACGAGATAAAATAAATTTTATCTTGATAGCATTTAGCAGATGTGTAGATGTTAAAATATTAATTTCTATATTCACCTATACATGATAAAAGCACATTTTCTAAGGTACACATTACAAAGATACAATGTCAAGTATAATATATACATATTAGTACTTAATTCGTCCATCTTTTGTACTATTTAGATCAAAGATCGTAACATCTCTATTGACTGATCAGCATGAATACTTTTGTACTCGATTTTATCATAAGACGACTTTTGCCATATCTCTTGCTGTTATTAGTTGTCAATAAACTATAAATTTGATCGATGATAATTTTCGACGACGCTGCAACCCGGAAGGCTCGCATTCAAGAAAACGCTTTTCGCGTTTTAAATATTTTCCAATAAGTTTAAAGAGCACATCTTTCCAAGATGACTACTCTTTCGATTAAGCGAGCACTTGCTTTCTCTTGTTTCAAATTCAATACCACGCTGATTTCTTCACGTGGTGCTTGCATCAGTTTACAGCTCGGCCGTAGTCGTCTTTAGCACATCTACCGTAGATTTATCTTCGGCCAGAAGAGAACTTAGATCTAGATCTTGAATGTTTATAGAGTGTTGACTGGAACCTAATAGTAAAAAATTATTCATTCATCTATCTTCTACATATCTAAAATAAAATAAAATAAAATAAAATATTTTATATATCATATCTTTAGATAGACAACTTTTGTGTTGCTTTATTATTATGATAAATAATCTTGAAATCAAGATAAAATTACAAAAATAATTTAGGGCTATTTTATTATTAATTTTTTCTACCAAAGATGTAGAAAAAAATTAATTATTAATAATTTGCCAATGATTTGCCTTACCTGCATGTGCAAGAAAGAGATCCTTGAGAAACCCTAGCTCCTTTGTAAGCATTTTAATCTTCTCCTCCAACAGTTCATTCTCCGTTTTCAGCTGATTTACTCGTTCTAATGTTTGTTGCGTGCGTAATTTACTCTTTACTCTGGATCGTTTTACGGCCTGTGAAATACGAAAATAACGATGACAGCACATGCGAATGATAATGTACGCGCAATTTACATGCGAAATCGATACACAACCTGGTTATTCCGATCCCGCCGCTTCCGATAGTCCTCGTCTCCTCCTACCTCCTCTATCTGCTTTTTTCGTTTGGCGTTATTTTCTTTATTTTTTGGTGCCATCTAAATGAAAGACAGATATATTCATCAATTCATTTTATAAATAACATTTCCCTAACAATTCAAGAATAACACGTGAAGAATTAAAATTAAAATTACAAATAATTATGGATTATATTTATGTTTTTAAATTTTATTTATATGTTATTTACACATATTATTTTATTTACATTATATTTATATTACATATTTATATATATTATTTTATTTATATTATATATTTATATATATATTATTTTATTTATATTATATATTTATATATATTATTTTATTGATATTTATGTTTTCAAATATGACTGACTTGACGGATTTAAACGAAAATAAAAGTTAAATTTTCAACGATTGTAGGAAGACGCATTTTTTTTTTACTATCTAGAATTTACTGGCGTCGCGAAATTTTGGCTACGCACCGTTTTTGCGTGCAACTTAAGCCGGTGAATCGCGATTGCTCAACGATTGCACTACTATTCCATCGAGGTAGACGCGTGACAAATATTTATATCGATGTTTCAATATCCGTGCACACACCGGCAACAGGACAGGTCGTTCTAGGCCGGTGGCGTAAAACGTTCTTCCAACCGTGTTTATTTACCCAATAAGACCTTGAGGTCGCGTTGTTGAGAAACCGGCCCTGACACCTTCGCGCGCAGCCTCGAAAACCGCGAACGGGATACTTAATTGTGACGCGCATCTCGCGGAAAAGAGAGAGAGAAAAAAAAAAGAACGAGACTCGGGACGAATTTAGCGAGGACGGCCGCTCGTCAAAATCGACAGTCATCATCGCGATTGCGGTCTCGTTAAATCGTATAATCTTCAAGGTCGGCCGCGGCAACAGTTCAGCTTGACAGTTAATCCTACGTCGACGGTGCTCTTGGAATATTTCCGAATCGTGATCTCATCCACGAGATAAATCAACGGAAAAAAAAATGTACGGACGCGACATTTAGTTAATCGCGATAAATTAAAAATTAGCGATTAGCGCTAATTGTGTCCCCGTTGCAGCTACTGTGCAATAATTTGTCACGCGAGCGAATAGTTATGACATTTCTGAAATATTGCGACGTTATGATTACCGAGAAAAAGATAGTGTTGTAATTTTTCAGCAATTTAGCGTAATTTTGATATGCTTCGAGCGTTTCTTCCAAATATTTGCTTCGCATTCGTTACAATTGTTTCCGTGAATTGATAACGTTAAACTCTTATATAAATCTGACATCATCAGAGAGACCGCTCGTGCGCTATAAACTCAATCGCACACATGTATAAACGAAAAACATCGAGCCGATATCCCCGCTAAGATATATATGAAGAAACAGCTGCGTTAGAATTTCTCCATTTTTTCCTATTTTTCACTCCATTTTTTATGCCACGCACGCAAACGAACTTTGCAATTTTATTAGATTTTTTCTATTATTCATTTATTTTATTATATTTTTTTCTATTATTTCTTTATTTTATTATATTTTTTTCTATTATTTCTTTATTTTATTATATTTTTTATATTATTTATTTATGGTATTAGATTTTTTTATATTATTTATTTATTTATTTTATTATATTTTTTATATTATTTATTTATTTTATTATATTTTTTTATTATTTATTTATTTTATTATATTTTTTTATTATTTATTTATTTTATTATATTTTTATTTTATAACGAAAGCAAAGAGATTCCTTTCGCCTGCAGCATCGAAAACCCCATCCTGGTTTCGATGACACGTGATACAATCGTCGGGGAATTTTAAACAGATGCGTTTCCCGCCGGTTTTTCCCCTCCCTCCCTCGCGCGACGATAAAAGCGGAGCATTATTATTGATTCGATGCATCATCGCGATACTTTCCGCGTTATTAATCTATTTACACGACGATAATACGAATGCAAAGTCATCCGGACTCGTGACTCGGTCCCATCTTTAAGCAAAGTAGAGAGAGACAGCGTAATTAATGCGCGTCTCTCAGGGTCAATGTTTTCAGAAGAGCCATAACATCTCTCGTTCAATGACGGATTCAAAGGCCGTATCGTGAACGGACTCCTCCCCCTACGCGATAATAAATTTGGAAAAAAAACGAGAATGAACGAGATCCAAGTAGTTTCCTTTCGCAAGATTGCGACATCAAACTTGCAACTCGACTCCGATCTAAGTTTCTATCCTACCAAATAACAGTTATATAACTGTTAATATTATAATTTCCCACTCAACAATTGTTACATGTTATGTAACAGTTACATAACATGTAACAGTTGTTGAGTGGGAAATTATATATGTAACGGTTATATTTTGTTGAGTAGGAAATTATAACAGTTATATAAATGTCACTCTAATCTCAGTAAACACCAAATAAATAATATAACTGTTAGTTACAATTTATTATATTTTTTATATTATTTATTTATTTTATTTTTTTATTTTATATTATTTTATTTTATTATTATTTTATATTATTTTATATTTATTTTATATTTTTTTATTTATTTATTTTATATTATATTTTTATTTTATAACGAAAGCAAAGAGATTCCTTTTTACTGTTATATAACTGTTAGTTACAATTTCCCACTCAACAATATAATTGTTACATGTTATGTAACAGTTACATTGTTGAATGGGAAATTGTAACTAACAGCTTTATAACAGTTATCTGACGTTTGTTGGGATTACAGTGACATTTATAAAACTGTCACACGTTATATAACAGTTATATTGCCAAGTAACATTTTTATAACCAAGTTATAAAAATGTTAATTGGTGTTTGCTGGGATTACACCTTCTGCACTCGAAGCGATATAACGTACGTGTATCGCGACGAGGGAGAAAGAGAGAGAATGCAATTGAAACAGTCCTTGGGTAAATTCTCGAGGCTGTGCAATCGAGGTAGCGCGACGCACGAGTGACGTATCGTCGGAACGCGGAAAATTCGTCCACGTGGCCGAGCTCCTGACGCGCACCCACCGTGCCTTGTTATGTCTACTCACTAACCGTTCGTGCGACTGGACGACTCGCTGATGCCGATGCCGATCTCGCTCACGTTCGTTCGCTGCTTGATTTCCGTACTGACCACCCGGACCCGGAGGACCGTACTCGGTGTAGAATGGAACCGACATGTGCACCGCGGTGATACGATTCGATCGGTGCATGACGCAATGCACGAATGAATCGTCGTCGTGGATCGCGAATGGTATATACGTCGTCCTCTAATAATGCCTTCGGGAACTGCATCGCGAAATTACGATACCGACAAGAAGTGTCAGTTTACCTACCGAGCGAATATCTTGTTTTCTTATATATATTTTTTTATTTATCATATTTATATTTTATTTCTTATATATTATATATATATATATATATATATATATATATATATAATACATATATACATTATTTATTTATATATATTATATAAATTTATATATTAATATATATTATATATAAATTATTTATATATATATATATATATATATATATATAAATTTATAATATATAATATATATTAATATATAAATTTATATAATATATATAAATAAATAATGTATATATACGAATATTTATTTTAGTATTGATGAAGAGCGAGAAAAAAATAAGAGATAAAATAAGATAATAAAAGAATTCTCAAATCTCTTTGTAAGAGAGAATTTTTTATCCCTTCTCCTGCGTTTCTTCTAGTTTTAGATTTTAATTTCTGTGATAAATGTGCATATTTAATATAAAAATAAATAAATAAATAAATAAAATATATATATATGGCAAAAATTATTACAATAATTTGTTTCGAAAACGTAGTATACATATAAATTGGAAAGAAAGTATTTTATAAAAAAATGTTTCCTATAAAAGTTACAAGGCTTAAAATGATTTATTTACTGATCACTATAAAAGAATCTTTTTAAATTCTACAACTTTTATATAAAACATTTTTTTATAAAATGTTTTTTATAAAATGCTTCCTTTCCAAAATATTAGGCCGTACCCTGTATATATAATTGTTAAAAAATAAATTTCTGGCAAGAATATTTTCAAATGGAAAATGATTCCAGAACCAAATGCGTAATAAAAAAATGCTTTCCTTATAAATTTATTTTTTTTTTTTCAATCGTACCACCGAGCACTCGTACATTTTGTAAAACGCGTGTACGGTTCTTCTCCAAAAATGTCCACTCAAACAGTATCAGAGTATCTTGTATTCATTCGGTGCTCTCCGAACACAAGCGGAATATTTGTCAAGTGCGACGATATAAACGATTTATTCGTCGAAGCGATTCGAATGGAAATGATCGACAAACAAGCAGAGTACTATCGATCACGCTTCTCGATTCACTCGCTTTCCGAGCCGCTTTCGCCGCTCGCGCTGGCGGAGCCGCTACCGCTACCAGTGGCGGATCTCGACCTCGATCGCGATCTGGACTTGGATCGCGAACTCGACCGAGATCTCGACGGTGACTTCGTAGGCGTTCCCGAGCGCGATCTCGACTTGGACCTAGATCGCGACGAGTTCCTGGACTGAGGACTGCCGGATCTAGACCGCGATTTGCTGCGCGACTTGGACGGCGAACGCGACTGGGAGCGCGAGCGTGATCGAGAACGCGAGCGCGATCTGGACTTGGATGGTGAACGCGAGCGTGAGCGCGATCTCGATCTTGAGCCGGAACGAGATCGTGATTTGGATCGTGATTTTCTACTAGACGCTCGCGAGGATGCCCTGGACGAGGCGCGCGATTCACCCTCGTTCTCCGCTTCGGAACCTGGAGACAAATTTTCCATGTCAAAAAAATTCTTATGATGATACAATAGCAAATATACAGGGTGTCCCAAAAGTCCCGAACCGGTCGAATATTTCATAAACTATGCACTTTAGAAAGAAATGTTTCAGACAAAAGTTGTATGGCTTGAAGGGGACCATTAGATAGTGACAATGATTTGATATGGGAGAGTCATTTGAAAGTCACGTGAAGATCACCGTCAATTTCTTAAATGGAACCCCCTTTTCTTTATTACATATTCGTGTAGCTTATCTCGAGAGCTTTCCTAAACACTATAATAAAGTATTTCTTCATTGAGTACTTTTCGAGTTATGAGGCTTGAAATAATTTCTTAATTTTACATAAACCGTAAAATATCTTGTGAAATATTCATTTTTCGATTATTATACCTTAATAATTTTATGTACAAAATAACGAGAGGAATCAATTGGTGTAAAGAAAATACATAGTTGTTTCTAAGAAAAAATATGTAATTTGCAATTAACAATTCCATATTTTTTCTTAAAAACAACTGTATGTTTTCTTTACACCAATTGATTCCTTTCATTATTTTGTACATAAAATTATTAAGGTAAAATAATCGAAAAATGAATATTTCACAAGATATCTTACGATTTATGTAAAATTAAGAAATGATTTCAAGCCTCATAACTCGAAAAATACTCAATGAAGAAATACTTCATTATAGTGTTTTGGAAAGCTCTCGAAATAAGCTACACGAATATGTAATAAAAAATAGGGGGTTCCATTTAAGAAATTGACGGTGATCTTCACGTGACTTTCAAATGACTCTCCCATATCAAATCATTGTCACTATCTAATGGTCCCCTTCAAGCCATACAACTTTTGTCTGAAACATTTCTTTCTAAAGTGCATAGTTTATGAAATATTCGACCGGTTCGGGACTTTTGGGACATCCTGTATAAAGCAAACCTCCAAGTGGCAAACCTTTGCCGTCGTTTTTCTCCACTTCTTGTTGAATGTCTTGTTCTTCTTCCTCCTCCTCTTCCTCCTCTTCGTCCTCGTCTTCTTCTCCAGGCGGTTCCAATTGTTTCTCCCGGTATCTCTGCATTCTGAATTCATTGGCGTTCAGTGGTCGATGACGTACAATCAAGCGCGTGTTATTTGGCTGCTGTCCGACCTTCTGGCGCCGTTTGCTCAGTCGCACTCGTGTCTCCAGTTCGTTATAGTAAACCTATGGTACACAAGATTAATGTGACGAGCCGTAAAATTGATAATGCATGTGTGATGTAACCGTGTGTTGATGTAAATAAATACCCCGTCTTGTCTTATCACGAGGAAATAATTTTCCTCGTATCCCTTGGAGGCTTTGCTTTTGACATTCCAATTATACTCTCTCGCCATTTTGTACTCGTACTCCTCGTCGTCAGCGTAATCGATACCAGCAGTAAAATCTCGTCGGCGTTTCTCTAACGTTTCTTCCAACGGTAAAAAGTAAGCTACAAACTGCTCGCCACTCTCATCCATCACACCTCTGTAAAGAACATTGTTTTCATAAAATCATCTCAAAATTAATTTTAATATGTTTTTCTTTCCTTCTTAATTTTAATATGTTTTTCTTTCTTTCTCATATTATTTTAAATTACTATAGCATAAGCTTACCTTATCATAGCTTGTGACATTTCCTCAATTTGCGCTGGTACAGATCGACCCGTTGGTGCAGGATCAGAATCAAATATGACTTGCGCACATGGATATTTCCATAACTAAATAAGATACATAATTAAAGGTTATTGATATAATGATGATATATTAATGTTTATACAAAATAATAACTGTTGCAGTGTTAAGTACCTTGAAGTCTGGATATACCGGCAATACTTCTATAGGTACTACATTTGCTTTGCTGTAGTGTCTTTCAATTGGTTTCTTATTGTCTTCAAATGTCTTTTCTATAGCTTTTATTTGACTATCGCGGTCCATATACAGTGTTTCCTCCTGAAAATAATTTAACAAATTTATATCAAGAAATATAGAAGGAAGATCGCATACATTACTAATGCGGAAAATGTGTCATACCTTGAAGTTCTTCTTGATGCTATAACCAACTTTGGCTTCAACCTTGTCCGCTGTTTGCGGCTGGAATCTAGTACTTTCTGTGGAAATATATTCTGTACGTCTGAGCCACGAGACGCTCTTGGCATGATGTCTAGATCGTTTAGAATCTTGTGGCGTAAGAACATCTTCCTCCAATAGTTTCTCATCAGCCGGATCCAACTGTGCATTTATATCTCCCGCGTATGTGTCCTTGTTTATCAGATCAATCTCAACACCTAAATCGTGTTCCGTCAATACTTCATACTTATAATTACGCTCCAAAGAGGTCGGATTATACTGAATGAACCTGCATTGTCAAAATCACAAATTATTTAAAGCAAAAAAAAAAAAAAAACGCAAATACGATGGAGTTGGACGAGTTGTTTTTTACTTACCTAGTCGGTTCGAAAGGATATGTTATAAATTTCGGATCAAACGGAATATCCGGCAGCGTATTGCAATATTTAACTCGACATATGAGTTCAGATCTGAGAGAAAGTGAGGGTCAGACGTGGAAATGTTTCGCACAGAAATTATACCATACCCCGCGCTTATTTACCTTTTTTCCGCTGGCCTAGTCGTGCGTTTATCTCTGTCGGCTTGATTGCTGTTGGTTTGAATAGTGGGTGCCATTTTATATCATCATATCACACGTCAATCGTAGAGTACGTACTCGTCGAGATCATTAACCATCAACAAAGAGAAACCCGAGACCGGCCATCCCGCTTCAGCGCACGCATGATGCGCCCCCTGATGAAGTGGACATGAACTACGAGTTCGCTCGGTAATAGACGTAGTACGTGGTTCATGTCCATGATAAACGAGATCTAATAATCCCAGGTAGCACATGAAACTCATAATGACATCATTATGACGTCATCATGATTTTATTTATCACATAAAAGTTAAAAATGTTTTTAAAACCTACAAACAAAAATGATTAAAAAATGAGCTAAAGATGACAAAAAGAATCGTAAATTTTTAAGTTCAATAATCGCATTATATAATTTTAAAAAGATTATGTTGCTTAAATATAATTAAAATGTACATGAATAATTAAATAAACAAATAATTGCGTAATATATATAAAAAATGATATTAATAAGTCATCAAAACATTGCCAAAAGTATATCAAATGAGATCATGATTTTTCTAAAATGACTTTTAGGTGACATCATAATGTCATTATGAGTTTCATGTTCTACCTGGGATACTAATTTAAGGATGTTTTGTACCTATTTTCAAAATATTGAGAATTTATGAAAATTGTACAGAATGCCCTTACTCAGTACAATTTTCAAATCGATTCATTAAAGCATTCACAAGTTATAAGGATTTTAATTTACACCGAATTAACATGTGTTCTTATGGGAAACGTATAACCACGTCGATTCGAATGACAAAAACACATGGAAATAATATTCAGAATTTGTTTAAAATTTGCAAAAATTTAGATACAGAGGAAATATTTGGTCAAATAATATTATACAAGTACTAACTGATTAAAAATATATTAAATATAATTCAATGATGTTAGTCATGTATCTGTCACAAGACGAAATTCTCTGCCAAAAGTTAATCATTTCGATTAACAAAATTCGGAATATTTCAGTAAAAACGTAATAAATATTAAAAAATACATCTCTGCGCTGTAGCTAAGATCAAATTCTAATATTCCACACAATTTCTCATACTCAAAATACACCAAAAGTGGATATTCATCAATATTGATTTTTAGCTACTTTTTGCTAGGATTGTACATACAAAACATCCTTAAATTAAATGTACACAAATTCACGCATAATTACTCTATGTTTTTAATGGATTCTGTTTCACATGCACAATATTTTTAGGAGAAACCAGGTTTCCGCACTTTGAGACCATCACGAGTCTTGCAGACCTTCAACTAAAAATGTCACCATTTTGTCGTTAATAGAAATTGTGATGGTGTTCATGCTGTGTCATATCCTCGTTTTATTCAAAATGTTTCGAAAATCTCTCCTTTAAGTTTAATTTAATATTCCAATAATTTTAAAGATATTCTCTTGACGATCAAGAATTTAATAAAATCAGATTTAAATATTTATGATAAATATTTCAGTGTCTATGACACATTTTACAAATATAAACATGAAATAAATCAATGATATACATAAATCTGCGCTCGAAATCAGCTGCGATATTTAATGATAAAATTATAAGATGAAACCATAAATAAAATCTGTCTTGAAGATTCGTGATATTAAAATTCCGTGAAACAAGTTATTAAAAAATTACTGTGACTCTTAATTTTCCATCACAAAGTTCCCAGCAAATACCAAGTAACAGTTATATAACTGTTAGTTATAATTTTCTATTCAACAATATAACTGTTACATGTTATATAACTGTTATGTGTTTAATACCAATTATATTGTTGAGTGGGAAATTACAACTAACAATTGTATAACTGTTACTTGGTGTTTGATGAGTTATTTTAATTATTTTAAACGTCTTAATTATTTTAAATGTCCTTCGTCTGAGTTTTCTTCGCTCAGCAAGGTTGTCGGGAATCTCCTATCAGTAAATTGGAGTGATTACAAACGCGCGCGCTGTCGACCAATTTCCAGGCGTCCTAATTTCTTGCACGCAGGCGTTTCCGTCACCGCGTTATCGATTCGAATGCGCAAAACACTGTGTGCGGTGATTGTCGATGGTATTCCCTTGAGAAATGCGGACGTCGTTCGTCGTCTGAAACTCCGGCCAGCGTTTCCCGTTCGCAGGAGTTCAACGCAGAGTTTTCAAGTCTGGAGGGAAAGCCGCGCTGCCCGGAAGTGAGTCCCGTAGGACATGGTTGGACCCAATGTCTCCTTGTGACTAACCGTCCCGGAGGGTGCCGGAGCGATTGCCACGCAAGGTGCATCCTTCAGAACGCCTTCCGAACACGAGCGTATAAATACAGAACTCGCGACGCTGTGCAAGGTAAAAAAATGTTATTTTTAATTACAAATAATAGTTTTTATTACAATTATTTGCTGGAAAGGTAGCGAGAATTTTAATAATGAAAAAATATGTCAGAAGAAAGATATAAACATAAAATAAATAAAAATTGCATGGATATTGTTTGGTATATATTATATATTATAATTTTAAATAATTCAATATTAAAAAAAAGTATTATTTAATTTATAAATACAGAACTCGCGATGCATGCAAGGTAAAAAAATGTTATTTTTAATTACAAATAATAGCTTTTATTACAATTATTTTCTGGAAAGGTAACGAGAATTTTAGTAATAAAACAATACGTCAGAAGAAAGATATAAACATAAAATAAATAAAAATTGCGTGGACGTTGTTTGGTATATATATTATTTAATTTTAAATAATTCAATATTAAAAAAAAAATATTATTTCAATATTAAAAAAAAATATTATTTATAAATACAGAACTCGTGACGCTGTGCAAAGTAAAAAAATTATTATTTTTAATTACAATTATTTGCTGGAAAGATAGCGAGAGTTTTAGTAATGAAAAAATACGTCAGAAGAAAGATATAAACATAAAATAAATAAAAATTGCGTGGACATTGTTTGGTATATGTATTATAATTTTAAATAATGTAATATTAAAAAAATATATTATTTAATTTGTCACGTATTTTTTTATCCTACTTACGGCAAAATTTTTATCTTGCATGATGTGTGTATTTAGGTGTATCCTGTGAGCCCTGTGGCAGGGCCTGGTGCGGCGCGATCCGTATGGGAACTAAGTCCCGATCCCGACATGGTCGGGCATCTACCGAACAATCTGATATCCAGCCATCAGAATCACGGTTCGGGCAAAAACACACGGGAAAGGAACCGTCCCGATGACAATGTCTATGCCGATGAGGCCGCGACTGGTCAGAGTCCCACCAACGAAACTAAACAAATCTTTGAGCTGCTCAGAGCCGGGTTAGATCATTTTCATTTTAAATTAATAATATAATAATATAAATATAATATAATAATAATAATAATATAATATAATATATAATAATATAATATAATAATAATATATAATATAATAATAATATAATAATATAATATTTTTAAAAAGAGAAAAAAACATTAAATTATGCCATAAAGAGCTGAAAGAAATAATTAAATAAGTCCAAAAAATTTGAAAAAAAGATATAATAATGAAGAGGGAAGTGCAAAGACATCATTCATTGTTTTTATAGTGAAATCGAGGTGGTCGAGGAATTGGTGGAAGGGAACGGATTGAACGTGCTCAGCGCGAGGGATGAATGGGGATATACGCCTGCTCATTGGGCTGCCTTGGATGGCAATATTGAAGTTAGTTTCTGAGGAAAAATTGTCATTATTTTTCAAAATTATTAAAGAGCTGGATATAAAATTTCTCCTTACAACAGGTCATGAGATATTTGATAGAACGGAGCGGTCCCGTCGATTTACCATGTCTCGGTACGCAAGGACCCAGACCGATACATTGGGCCTGTCGAAAAGGTCACAGTGCGATAGTGCAATTGCTTTTAAAGGTACAAAGCTGGAAAAATATCAAAGACTTGGCAAATGAACAGAGTCACAAGAAAGCTTTTTTTTTCAGGCGGGTGTCGCGGTCAACACCGCCGATTTTAAGGGCTTGACACCTCTGATGACCGCTTGTATGTTTGGCAAATTCGCGACAGCCGCCTTCTTACTAGGATCCAGTGCGCAAGGACATTTGACGGACATAAACGGCGACACCGCGTTGCATTGGGCCGCGTACAAGGGCCATGCCGAGCTGATCAAACTGTTGATCTACAGCGGCGTGGATTTACAGAAGCCTGATTACTTTGGCTCGACGCCGCTTCATCTCGCTTGCCTATCCGGCAATGTCAGCTGTGTCCGGATCCTCTGCGAGAAAAGTAAGATTGAGCTCGAGCCGCGCGATAAAAACGGCAAGACACCGTTGCAACTGGCCAAGAGTCACCGTCACTCGGAGATCGTGCGCATTCTGCAAGCAGAACAAAAACGCCGAGCTAGATGGATACCGCCCATTAATGAACTATGGTCTGCATTACTTGGCGTAATATATCGAAATTCAAAAATTAAATCATTTATGAAACCTGTAAATAATTTGCACGGTTGCTTTTTCAAGGGCGCTATTGTTTGGCGGAGCAGGCAATAGCAAGGGACCATTGCTACTGTTCATGATATCCGTCCTGCTATGGGGATACCCGATGTATCTGTTAAAGTGTATTCCGTTAACATGGAATCTCCTGCGCGGTAGCCATTACTGTTTCATTTACTGGAACATCCTCATGTGGATTTCCTGGATTGTAGCAAACAGAAGAGACCCTGGTTACGTGCCGCAGAACAGCGATACCTATTACAGAGCGATAAAACAGGTATAATGAATGATAACTGTAAAGCGATCGAATAGTTAATTAATTATGATTTACACACTTTGCGTTGTTTCAGATTCCATACTTCGATAAATGGAAAAAGCGCAACGTTTTACTATCGCGATTATGTCACAGCTGTAGATGTTTCAGACCCCTCCGGGCTAAACATTGTAGAATCTGCAATAGATGCGTCACGTATTTCGATCATCACTGTCCGTTTATATATAATTGCGTCGGCTTGAGGAACAGGTACGCAATCGATACAAATCATACCCGCTTGTACATGTCAAAATTACAATTATTAAAATATTTTTAACAAAAATACAATTATTAAAATATTTTTTAACAAAATTACAATTATTAAAATATTTTTATTTGTTTTCAGAATGTGGTTCTTCCTGTTCGTCATGTGCGTGGCGATAAACTGCTCATTCACCTTATATTTCGCATGTTATTGTATCGCGATTGAAGGAATTCAATTGCTGTATGTTCTTGGCGTACTAGAAGCTCTCGTCTTTTGCGGACTTGGCTGGATTCTAACATGCACTTCGGTAAATGTGATATGGTTATATTACAATTATATTATTGATGTACAATTTTCTATCATCCTTTTCTTTGAACAGGTCTTACATGCTTGTATGAATTTGACTACCAATGAAATGTTCAATTACAAGAGATACTCGTACTTGAGAGACAAAAGGGGCAAATACTTGAATCCTTTTAGTCGAGGACCCGTGCTCAATTTCATCGAGTTTTTCCTCTGCCCACCAGATCATCAAATAAATGATCCTCAACATTATCATATTCTTTCAGAAGATGTAATGTAACGTTACATAAAGGTCCTACAAATCTTTGATTAATTTATGTCACGCACTCTCTTGCACAGAGAAGCGTCAAGCGCGACCACTATAATATACATATATACATACATACATACACACACATACATACATATATCTGTGTGTATATATGATACACTATTTTTTCAAATTAACATATGTACATTTGCACATAAAATATATTATTGCCACTTATGAAATATTCACATTTCTCATAGTTTATATTGCTACATTCTGCTGCCAGAACACAAACTTGCATAAATGTAGTAAAAAGTTTTATATATAAAAGTTAAAATTTAAATAAATTATCTGTAAAACTGAATTTCATACTTTATTCCTTACACATTGACTTTGTAATATATTTCATACAAGTTGGTATAAAACATTAATAATACAATTAAAAGATGAAAATCTTATTGTATAAAATAAGCTATATAAAAAATCTTATTAAAATATCATGATTATGTACTATTAAAATTATTTGAAATTAATTAAAAGATTATCAACATGATTGTGTAATTATTCTATATGCGCGATTTCTATTCATAATAATATTTGTATATAAATAATTTCTAAAAACGAAATACATGTATAATAATTGCGTATAAAGATTAAAATATTTCTTTGGCAAGATGTATTGCTCTTGTACAATTAAAACATGCAACAAAAAATTACAGCTAAAAAATCTGAATCTACATCATAGTAATAAAATACAAAAAGATTACGAAAAAATATTTAAAAAATTATTGTATATGTAAAAAGAACAAAATGACTAATATGTCTTGTCTATCAAGTCAATATAATAGTGATGTAAGCTTTATATGACACAAAGTGACTTACTTTAATTCATAGCAGAAGTTTTTACTTTAGTTCATAACAGAAGTCATAATTTGGTGGCGGTTCGGGGACTGCAGGTGGATCTTGTGGAATATCAATTCCTTCAGCATCTAGAAGCCGTAACTTGATGTCCATGGATAATAGAGTCTCCAAGTCTTTTTCAGCTTCCTTACTAGTCATTCTGTTTCCTAAAAAATAGTGAAGAAACAAAAATAAAAATTTCCATGTAATTAATACTAATAAATGTAAATTGAATTTGCAACTTACCGAGTAAAGCATTAATGCCATCGGTCCAATAATCAAAGACTTGTTCATCGGGAGCAACAAAATCGAGACTAGATACTTCGACGGAATCCAAGATCAAAGAAAACGCCAACTGGTGTGTAGTTTTCCGTCTCTGCAAATCTTTCATGTGTGGACAGTCTCTGCCAATTAGCAATCCTCGAATTTCTACTACCGCTAGTTTCGTAGGAAGTTCGTCTATTGTTGGCACCGATTTCTCGTCACAATCTCCGTAATGGAAGACTTTATGATTTGGCGATAAACGGACATACCAAAATTTATCTTTGACCCGCTGAAAATATTAATGATTTCATTAAAAATTTCATAAATTGTGCATGATATATCGAATGTGTCCAATCAAAATATACTCACCTGTCCTCTAGCACTGTATTTCATAAATCTGGTGCCTTGTACCAAAAATCCTAATCGCTGTTGTTGGATTAATTCTAAGATTTCAGGCGTAATTTGTTCTCTAAGCTCAACGATCGGCCTCGCATGACTCTCCCATTCTTCCCTGCTTGTTCTCTCCTGCTGCCAGAGATTAGTGATAGTGGAATACGTGAGCTGCTGCAACTTATTTTTAAACTTATCCAATCCTGTGGGTTTGCATTGAAGCGCCCTGGTAATTTGCTCTCGTACAACAGAAAAGACTTTGACGAAATCTTCCGTGGTCGCTCTCATTTCCTTCCACGTCTTATTTAGCAAAACTATGCAGACACAATAAAATTCCTCAAAAGGATGATCGTGCGTAAAGAACATCGGGTGATAAGATTGACCTTGTTCACTGGGTGCTTCACCAATGCGTAACACCTAATTAAAACAGTATTCGTTTATTTTACATATCATGAGCAATATTAAACATTTATAAATTCTCTTAAACATATATCTTACCTCGCAAAGTAATTTAACGAGTTCTACACTTGTTCGACCAAAAGGACATTCATGCTCGTCTGCTCGACATGAATTCTCGAGAACGACCTTTGTATATGCTTCAGTATGATTACGCGCAAAGTATACCATACAGTCAAGAGCCAGCATACCCGGTGGTGTTTCAGTAAAATCAAGAGCTGGATTGATGTCATATTTAAAGCCCAGTTTCTTATAATCCTTGGCGAAAAGCCCTTGCTTGCGAGCTGTTACGTCTCCGCTGATCGCACCTTCTGTATCAAAAGCAATCTTTCGAAGTTCCTTGATCTTATCATGCGCATCTTGATCTTGTGGATCCATTTTTGTCATCATCCGTTGTTCCAAAAGGCTCAACATTAGTGTCTGCAATACATAGAGTTGATGCGCCATTTCCGCTCCAACCTGTAAAAGTAGCAGAAATAGTAAAAAAAATACATTGAATAACACGATATTAGATAGTCTGGAATGAAAATTGAAAAGTTTGTTTTTGTCTAGTTTGAAATACACATATACATTTATTAATGTAAACAAAGGTTTGATCTTCAAATTAAACTTTGTTTTGAAAATCAGGCTTAGTAATAAACAACCAACCATTTCAAAATTTAATAAGCTTGGATGATTTCAATTTTTTTCAAATTAATCATATACAAGATACGAAGAAAATGGTAAAGAAGTGCTATTAATATTTCGTTAATTACATACCTGCCCAGTGGATTGTATAACGTTTGTCAAAAATACGTTTCTGACTTGTTTGGATTGTAATGTGGCGGAAACTGCTCGTCTCTTGTATAAATCAGCTTTCAAAAACAGTGCGTTTATTAATGCTATCGCGTTTTGTTGAATTTGCGCATTCATACATTGCAAATGCATTACAAGGTTGGGGAAAGTAACTTCCTTTTCCACCTGTCCATATTTCCCTGTTGAATTCAGGACTATGTTCTCTAGAATACTTAGAGAAGCTTCCACTACATTGGTGTCCTGAGTTACCGACTGATTATTGACATAGCTTGCTACTTTATTAATAAACGGTGTTTCCAATATATCCCACGACACAATTCCATGATCCATCAATTCCACAAATGACTGAAGAGAAAACGCAAGTGCATTTCCCTTGTACTTTCCACCTTCCACCTAAAAATTTAACAATTGGCAATTGTAATATTGCACAAAAAACTTAAATTATTCAAATAGTTGCAGATTTATGCTATGTATAAAAAGCTCCATACTTGTGAAATGATTAATGCCAACCCTTTCTTGTTTATAAATTCCAGTGCAAAAGTCATATCTATGCTAAGCATGCTCAGCTTCTGCAAAGCCGCTACTTTCTCTTCCGTTGTTCCATTATTGAGCTTAGCCAGAATATCATTTGCTGTTTTCGATGGCGAAAACTCTAATCTGAGAATACTGCCATTTTTCACCTCATTCCTATTTTTCTCCGTAATGTAATTCTGATTGTTATTTTCCGAAAATTGTAACGAGTATGATTCCGCGTCAGGTAAATCCCATCCGTTGCACAATTCCTGTTATTAAAATAAATTTAAAAAAAAATCCTGTTATTAAAATTCAGGATTGAGTAAGTTTATATTTTTTTTAAACTAAATTAAGTTAAAGTTAATGAGTTAAAAAATTAATTTAGTTATGTTAAAAGTTATACAAATAAAAAATTAATCACTAAAGTTACGTTAAGATTAAATTAATGTTAGTTAAGATAAAAGTTAGTTAAGTTAAAATTTTGAAAAGCATTATTTCACTTTATATTAAATTAGATTGTAATTTTAAAATTAGATTACTCTAAATAATAATATGAATCATCAAATAAATTTGAGGGGAAAGTTAATAAGTTTAAATTTGTGTTTTAAAAATAACTGGTTAAAATTAAAAGTTAACTCTTTTTAAAATAATTAAGTTAAGTTAAAAATTATTAACTTTTTAACTTTTTAACTTTTTAACTTTTAACTAGTTATTATTACCCAACCCTATTAAAATTAATTAAAATAAAATAATAATCAATACATGTGCATGCAATATACATATTGTAGCGTCTTATAAATGATGAAATTACGTGATAACGCGATTAAAATTAATTGTACCTGAATAATTCCGGCCAAAGGTTGCTTCTGATTGAATTCTATGAGCTGCGGCACTTGATCGGTCATCTGAACGGCGATTTTCACGATATTCGAATCTTTCTGGACCGGCATCTTGATCGCTTGCGTGTACATAAAAAATGACAATTAGGCCCGTATTATTAGATTCAGGGCAACGGTGACCAGGACAACACCGATCACCGATCCAGTTTGTTTGTAATCCGCTCAGAAACTTGACAGATCCCTTCTGTCATACAACAGTGACAGCCATCGCAGCCATGACAGATGCAACGGTCACGTGGCTGCAAAGTTCCAAAATCTTACTAGAGTAATATTGAAATGATTAGTCGGAATAAAGAAATGTTTGCTTCTCTTGTTCTGATTAATTAAATATTAATTTAATGTCGATTAAATAATTACCCCACGAGTGGAATTTTCGAATCCATCCAAGGCGAGCCTACTTCCGGTCAATACCGGAAATGTACATTTGACGTTTCACAGGACCGCCAAAAATAAACACGACACATGTTTACGTTGCGTATATCAATTACATAATAATGCTAATTAAGAATCACAAATATTATATTAATAGTGTTTAATTGTATATAATATTTTTTATGACTATTATAATTTGTTTTCTAATATACAGGCTGTTCCAGTTGTCTTCCGTCATCTTTCAAAGACAAATTCCTGGGATCATCTGAAGACGATTTTTCCTCAACGAAAATGTCGAGGCACTAATAATTTTCGAATTATAAGTGATTGAAAGTAAGGGGTTTTTCGTAAATTAAACTTTGTAGAAATAAAATATTAACAAAATCACATTTTTGATTAATTTTAAATAGAGTTTACTTTAGTTGAGTTTTAATTTAATTGCAAAGATATATGATGACAAAAATCGGAAACATGTAAAAAATGATGGCCATCATTGACATTTTTGCTGAGGAAAAATCATCTTCAAATGATCTAGGAATCTGTCTTTGAAAGATAATGAAAGATAACTGGGACACCCTATATATATATATATATATATATATATATATATATATATATATATAATATACAGGGTATCCCAGAAATTAACCTTGAAAGTAACTGTGATGAAATAATGAACTTTCAATTTTAAGATTGAGGCACTTTCAGAAAAAACGTTTAATACAAAAGTTTCTTATTTTTTCATGTACAATTCGAATCTGTAATAAAAAGTACCATGTTCCCCTAAAAAAATTCGACTTCCGATCCGGATTGCGTATTTCCGGTCAGAATCAAAAGTTGAAAATATCACCATTTGATAGAGTGTACCCGATTTACTTAAAAATTGTTCGCGATTTTTGATAAGAGCCATTTATTTTCATTTTAAAAGGGGTGTACGGGTGATCTGAGACCTTATATATAATATATATGTGCATAATATGTATGTTTATATGTTTTATTGTATGTGTGTGTGCTCAGCAAAGACGATGACATCTTAATGACGGTTTAATAACGTTTAATACGTTATTAAGACATTTTTAGACATCATCATGTTTACTGAATATTCTAATAAATTTTTTTATCATACAATTAATGCGTGAAACTTCTTCGTGTTAAATATGTCGGTTCTTTCATAAAGATGCACTCGAAATCTCATTTTCTCAGAATAGAAAAATAAATAAAACACAGAATGTTTTTTCTTCGATAAGATGGGTTGATTGAAACTGGGTATTGTAATGAAAAGTAATTTGTCGACGTAGAATAAACAAGGCGTAGGTTTCTTGATTAAATATATATCTTCTGTCACCTAGAGAAAACACGAAGAACGGCGCAAATGCAAATAAAAAAACACCAATTGATCTTCGAATACGGGGATAAAAGCTTGCGTTCGTCCGCGAAAGGATTAATTCTTTCCGGTAGCGCAACGTTATCGTATTGTAAAATATGACAACTGATTCGGGAGAGTATTCGCGAAATACATTTTTTCTTTGTCTCGTCATGTGCATCGTTTTTCGAAGCGATGCTGTCTTAAAAAGTACAGTGATTATATTTACAAAAGTTTGAATACAAATTATATTTTAATTAGTCGCTATCCTCACAAAAAAATTTGAATTTTTTTCACATGAATATATCAAATAAATATTTAAATAATTCTGCAAGTGTTTGATTCAATCAACTATGTGTTAGTTTATAATTTTTATAAAATTTTGATCATTTCTACTGTCACAGCGCAAGAGATTAATTACGAGATGCTCGACGATGAATTTGATTTGCTGAATCGAGTAATCGCTAGTTTAGAGTGGCAAGTCCTTAAAAATCGTTCGATTGTACCCTTAGAAGTGTATACGCAAATTATACAATTCAAGCTAAAGTGGAAAAATGAATGGTGCGCAAAACTTACGAATCTTCAAAATAACAAAGTATCCATGAATCAAAAATTGCTGCGCTTTTTGTGCAAAGGACCAAAATATACCGATGAAATGACAAGGTATGATGAAGAGCCTGGCAATTAAAATTTCTTTATTAATATAAATTTAAAGATTTCGTTAAATTTTCGATTTAACAAATATTAAAGATTTCGTTAAATTTAAATCTCTAAATTTAATCGCGTCTTCCTTTTATAAAATTAATCTTTCATTTATTATAGAAAGATTGCCGTTATTAAAGACTACTTGTCATCCACATATGGCTCTGCGCAAATTTGCAAAATTGAAAATTATAAACGGAAATGTTATAATAATGAATTGGACGTGACAAGATTAATGGCGACTTCGAGGTATATTTCAATGTATTATTTAAATTACTAAATGGATATATTTTATAAATTTTCATGACTTTTATCGAATAATTTAACACCTATTTTATTTAGGAATGAAAGAGAATTACGTTGGATTTGGACTGCTTGGAGAAATCGAATGAGTCATACGAAGGAACTTTTTCAACAATTAGTTGATCTTCAAAATACTGCTGCGCGAAATAATGGTATGATACACAGCAATACATAAATTTTAAAAATCAATATATAATATTAAAAAAAAATTAACTAAATTATTAACTAAATTAGCTGAATAATAAATTTGTGTTTTTCTAAAAAAACATGCAGCATATATAATTTCAAAATTGCAGTGCAATCAACTTACAAAGCAAAACATCAAAAATTAAACACAATGAAAAAATTGACTTCCTCTTGAAATAATATTTTAAAATTAAAACAATAAAACGTTGGACAATGAAATTTTATTTTTATAATAATAATAAAATCTTACTGTCAGGCTACGCTGATATCGGAGAATATTGGAGGGAAGAGTTCAAGATTCCGGATTTGGAGAGTATGTTCGAAGAAATGTATCAGCGAGTCGAGCCATTATATCGGCTTCTTCATGCTGTCGTGAGATTCCGACTCGCGAAATTGTATCCCGACGTTGTTGACGTGTCTCTACCAATTCCTGCTCATTTATTAGGTGAAGTGATTTTCGTCAATCGAAAGAGCAAACGTTTTTCTTAACCGATCATCATCTTTACAGGTAACTTGTGGTCGCAAAGTTGGGAAGCGTTGATCGACATAGTATTTCCAAATTATACCGCAATCATGCCGAACCTGACGAATTCGATGATACAAGAAAATTATAATGTCATTAAAATGATAGAAACGGTAGATGATTTTTACGTATCTCTCGGATTTCCGTCCTTGACGCCAGAATTTTGGAAGAACTCTATCTTTAAAAGAGAAATAGGTAGGAGATCTAGCTGTCATGCAACTGCTGTCAACATGTACAATAAGAATGACTTCAGGTAAATTTCTAAAATAAATAAATGTTATAAAATTAATAAAATTAATTAATTGTGCCTTATTTCAGAATTATCGCATGTTTAGAGACGAAACCAGAAGATTTCAATGTTATTTATCACGAAATTGGTCATATACAATATTATATGGCGTATCAGAATCAATCTTCATTTTTTAAGGTACTAAAAAATTTCTGGAAAATCTCAAATATATATAATAAATATATAAAATCAATTATCTGTTATTTAGAATGGAATCAATAGTGCTTTCCACGAGTCGATAGGGGATACCATTTCGTACGGTGCAACTTCCTTTCAACACATGCGGCGTCTGGGATTAATACGCACCCCTTTCGCATCACTCAATTCATTCGAAATTAATTCGCAGGATTCATTAGAAATGGCTATTCTTCTAAGACAAGCTCTGCTTAAAATACCGCAACTGTCTAGTGGACTGATAATAGAAAAATGGAGGTGGTCTGTCTTCTCGGGCAGGACAAAACCATCGAGATACAACACATCTTGGTGGGCTTTGCATCGTCGATATATGGGCGTCGTACCACCGTCATCGAGATCTGAGAAATTCTTCGATCCTATGGCAAAATTTCATGTCGCTCACAACCTACCTTATGCTGGGTAAGTTCGAGTGACCTGATAAAAAAAGCAATGTGTGTAATAACAGCGATAAATGAATTAATATTAATAGATATTTTCTGGGAAACTTTCTGCAAGTTCAATTATTCCAAGGAATGTGCAAAGCAGCCTTGAATCTGAGGGTTGATTCCACGACGTTTGATTTATCTCTTCACAAATGCGACATTTACGGATCAAAGGATGCGGGAAAGTTCTTGAGGTAAATAGCACCAGTTCTTATGAAAAAATGATAACTTTAATTTTTATTTCAAACAAAAGAAAATAGTAAAAAAAATAAATTTTTCTATCATTTTTCTTCATTGAAGAAGGTGAAAAAAAAAACGAATATAAAGAAAGCGGTCTTAGCTTACTTTACTTCCAGGTCGACGATGAAACTTGGAAGTAGCGTGGATTGGAGACGCGCGCTACGCATGATAACGGGACATTCCGAGTATCGTGTGGAGCCGTTCTTAGCTTATTACGAGCCAGTCCGCGAATGGCTGCAACGCGAGGTCGAACGTCATAGGATTCCAGTTGGTTGGGATTGAGACGACTTAAATAAACTGTTTCGAACTGTCTCCAATTATTTCTTCAGGCGTTCGTGTAAATTCGCGTGTATCTAATCCATCTTTCCTCTGTAGATGTCTTCTATATTCGATAATAGTGCGGCACCGATCGATTCGTTGTATTCCATAGTCCAGTCTGGATAACTAGACGCTTGCTTGTTTGCTCACACCTGGGTGTCAACTAGACGATTCCCTTAGACTTGATTGTTGCATCGAACCCAGACCTTCATTGGTGAAAATGTCAAATTCCTCTCGACTCATGAGAGCGTTACGGACATCGTTTAGCGTGATGACTTTGGGACATCTGTCAAACATCGAAAAAAGAATGTGCAAAATACAAGACAGATAATAACATCATGTAATATAATAAGATATACAAGGTGGTTTAAAAGTCTGGAAATGGTCAATTATCTTCGAAAATAGTGACCCTGTGGGAAAATGTTTCAGACAAAAATTGTAGGGTTTTAAGTGACGCATTACACAGTAATATTGCTATGATCTTGAAGAGTGTTGTTAAGGTCACGTCAAGATTACCTTCAATTTCTTAAATAGAACCCCCTATTTTTAATTACATATTCTTTTAGCTTACCTCGAGAGCTTTCCAAAACACTATAATTAAGTTAGTTTTCATTAAGTACTTTCCGAATTATGAGGCTTGAAATCATTTCTTAATTTTACATAAACTGTAAAATATCTTATAAAATATTCATTTTTTGATTATTTTACCTTAATACTTTTATGTACAAAATAACGAGAGAAAATTGGTGTAAAGAAAACATATAGTTATTTTTAAGAAAAAATATGTAATTGTTAATTGCAAATTACATATTTTTTCTTCGAAACAACTATGTGTTTTCTTTATACCACTTGATTCCTCTCATTATTTTGTACATAAAAGTATTAAGGTAAAATAATCGAAAAATAAATATTTTTCTAGATATTTTATGGTTTATGTAAAATTAAGAAATAATTTCAAGTCTTATAACTCGGGAAGTACTCAATGAAAAAATACTTTATTATACTGTTTTGAAAAGCTCTCGAGGTTAGTTATAAGAATATTTAATTAAAAATAGGGGGTTCCATTTAAGAAATTTAAGATGACCTTCACATGACCTTAACAACACTCTTCAAGGTCATAGTAACATTACTGCGTAATGCGTCACTTAAAATCTTATAACTTTTGTCTGAACCATTTTTTCACAGGACCACTATTTTCGGAGATAATTGACCGTTTCCAGACTTTGAAACTCTGTATAAAAAGATAATTACTCATTTCTGCTATTTCTCTCCCAAGCTTTTGCCAACGATGTTCGAGTTAGATCCTCCACGAAACATTCGACAACCTGGAAAGACATTATTTTAACATCGACAGCATAATATTATAACTTTCTAATTTTACTCATTTTTAAAAGCATGAGCACAATTTGCATAAAAAAAGAATCTTTACCCGCATCATTACGCGACTAGCTGCATTATACAGAACACCAGGAACAATCTCTTCTGGTCCGATCTTGATGCCGATATCTCGCGCGGTATCGTCCACGAAATTATGGAAAGGCAACAAGCTTCCATCAAGTTCGAGCGGTATCAATTTAGAAAAATCGCTACCTCCATCATCGTCATTTTTTCTCCTATCAATCGTAATCCTACACGAGCTTTCCTCGACACTCTCGACATCAATCTCTTCGTCCTCGACACAAGCATCTATCGATTGACTAGATTCTTCCTGGCAGGTTTGCAGCCACTTTTGCAACGCGACTGATTCCGTACATGTGGCCGAGGTTGCGGTGGGTGTTGTAGTGTCGGATGGACACTTCTTCGTGTCATTCATCGTGACTGCCTCCGATAAGCCGGAGGAGTTTCTACTCGGGGTGTAGCCGTGCAATTTCGCCCACACCATGATCTCCTTGACGCTCCACAAGCTATCAGATGGGATCTTCTTTATTCGCAGAAAGGACCTGATTATCTTGGCACGATGCCACTCGAGCGCACGTTGTTTGCCAACGTTGTGGGCAAAGTACTCCTCCTCGCTGCAACACGCGTAAGGATGCATCAATTTGTACTCGGGATCGCGGGCATCACGTGTGATGATCGGCAATCGACGTACGATGAATCGTATTAACGCTTCTGTGTCGACGATGTTCGCAATGTCAATCGAGCGCAGAGTCGCTTCGTACAATTCCCTCTTGCTCTGAATCTTGTACTTGTCCTTGCCCAACGTGATTTTCACTCGCTGCGTGGCTGTCTTGTCCTCCGACCTCACGTATGGCATGACTGTCGATGTCTTCTGCTTGTCGGTCAAAGAGACGCCTTTCGTTGCCTCGAGATTGTAGTTGTATCGCGGATCGCACGGATCTGCTATCTTCAGGATTGGCACATTCTCGTTGACATTCAGGAGGAGATTGTTGGAGTTTTTCAATATAAGTACAGCAGGCTTTTTATTGTCGCTGACGGGGTCCTCCAGTCCGTCCAGTCGCGTGTTCATTTTAGCGTTGGGCGGCTTCTTCAGGATGCTCACGGTTTGAGGAATGCGGACGTTCAATTTCGCAATGTTACCGTCTCTCGCGATAGAAAGTTTCAGGTCGCCATCCACGAGCTTCCTCGAGTTCTCGCTTGATTTCGAGGAGAGGATATTTGTCATATCCACTGTAATCGATTTCGTATCCTTCCTAACAAGCGTACATTTATTAGTCGACGATGTGAACATATTCGGTGGCGGTATGGAGATTTCTAGAGGTTCTAAATGCGAGTTAGCAGTATTAGAGATCCTCGTTGTTTCCTGCAAGCTGGTGAGTCGATCGAATGAAGCATTGGACGTTTTGTAAAAACCGTTAATCGTCACTGATGTGTCTGTAGTCGTGATATTTCCCGAGATTTTAGAAGTATTGCTGCTCTTCTTTGCTTGTAAAGATTTATTGGCATCGGATGATGATAAGTTCTTTTGACTGTTTCTCTCTTGAAATGTTGTGTTCACTTGTGAATTATTTTCCGCTGTATTCGAAGTAGCCAAAGACTGACAACTATTGGAAGACTGAATATCACCGTTAAATCTATGGGATATAATTTGTACATTGCCGAGTTTCTCTCTCTTATCGTCACTTGCCGATGAATTGGTTGCAGGAATGTGATTACTCTCTAGAAAATGTTCTATAGTTATATTTCCTTCTTTTTCAGAATAATGATTAGAATTGAAATGCCTGTTCACATAATTATGATCATGCCTAATGGAATAATTTATCTCATCTAGATTTGATTTATCGTTAGATTCAATCTTTACTTTGATGTCTTCCAGTTTCTTGATTAAATCTAATGACAGATTAGATTGTTCGTGTACTTCTGAATTAATTATTTCTTCCTTCACTCGAATTTCTTCAGAAATACTCTGCAAAGTTTCCATAGGTTTTCTTGCAAATTTATGAATAAACTCAGAACTGTCATTATTAGATTCTACTTTTATACATGCATTATTAGGAGATTCAACGGATTCCCTGCTATTGTTTTGCTCGAGATTACGTGTCTGGGTCGTATGAATCCATATGTTGACCAGGGTCTCCGAGCCCAGTGTTTGCAATCCTGTGTAAGTACGATCCAATTTTAAATGGTGAATAATGTCTACGGGTTTGTCAAGAGCATTCTTGAAGTGTAACTGTACTCTAACAGGGAACTCGCCCCATCCACGTCTGCATAGATGAAAGGGATATGACGTGACCTCGACGACATCGTTTGGACGGTAACTAGGGTGTAGGAAGAATCTCACTTTACTGACAAAAAGGCTGATGTCGGCACTTTCGTCTTTGTCACTGCGCACGTATATCGTCCACTTGTGACTAGACGCATCTTCTCGCCAATCCGGTGGGATCCATTTGGATATGTTACCGACAATAATTCGCTTTCGGATTTTCTGGCTGTTGCCACGCGATGGACCCGTTTGGGCTGGGGTGCTGCTTTTCGGTGGTATATAACGGGGCACCTTGCGAGGTCGAGATTCTTCATCTGGCAGTTTTCTTTTCTCGCTCTGCAGTGCTGTATCATGTTTGTCAGCTTGTTGCTGTTTGTTTTCTTCGGTCTTAATCGTTGTAGTTTGTGCACATGACGCGAGAGATTCATCATTGCACAAGAATCGAGGATCTGTAGATGTCGATGGCACTGCAAGATCGGTACATTGAACAGACTTGGGATACTTTCCAAGTAATGACTTAATCGCAGGATGAATTTTCGTTTGTTTCGTGCTCTCTGCAGCTTGAGGAATTTGACACTGTTTGCGATTGTAAAAATTTGTAATTATAACGTAGCGCAAGAGATGAAAATTCTTTAGGGCTTTATGCAATATCTCTTGTATTTGGAAAATTTCCTTCTCCTTCGACTCAATCTCCCGTGCAAATTCCTTCTCCACTATCGCAGTTATTTTCCTCGCAGTAGTGTTTCTTGCTAATAAAGAAAGAAGAATGTATTAGATATAATTATTATGACAAATATAAACATTCCATAAGATTATTAATGAATTTAAACAATACATTTTCTTATTCAATTATATTTATTAAATATTATTAAATAATATTTATTAATAAATATTACTTATTAATTTATTAATTAATTAATATTTATTAAATATTTGTTAATACTTATTAAATTATATTTATTAATTTGAGTGATGCAGAATCAGTGTATTTACCATTTTCCTCATAAATTTTCTGCTGAACTTGCTCGTTGGAAATTGAGGAGACATAATCAGGATCCTGATCGTTCAATGATTCTTCAGGAGCACTCATTTATCGTAAGGATACGTTTAATTAGGTTAGAGTCAATGCGGTATTTAAAAAACAGGAAAACGTTAAACAATATTACCTTGATATATACAAAATTAGGTTTAATATATCTCTCTCCTGTCTCTCAATAACATTCACTGAGCATTCGCAGAATTGTTAAATATATAAATTCTCTCGCCTCTATAAAAACGTGTGTAAAAATGTCACTCGAAGAGGTTAGAGTCAACGTGGTTCCATTCGTGCTAAACATCAGGAAGTGATCGTAGCTCGGACGACAAATTTCTCTCGAATAAAAAAAAACACCAGCGTTCATCCGAGAATTTTTAATAATATCTACGCGTTCGAAATATCAAAACCGATAATAATAAAGTACGAAATACAACATTACAATTTAATCACAGATGAAACGCGGGCGTCGCGTGTCGCGCCATCTTGGACACCGCTGCTCCAAAAAAAGGTATGTTTACAAGATTGAAACGTTTACATGAGACCCTCACAGATGTTTACAATATCTGATTTCAAAACGTCCTCCTCGAGGAAAATTTTATTCGATAACCGTTCCGCAATTTTATTTTTAGCATGTTCGATATTGATTACTTTTTATTTTGAATTAATTTTATTTAAATTAATTAATTTTAATTAATTGTATTATTCTTATTGATATATTTTATTATATTTATCGATTATATCGATAACCGTTCTGCAATTTTATTTTTAGCATGTTCGATATTGATTACTTTTTATTTTGAATTAATTTTATTTAAATTAATTAATTTTAATTAATTGTATTATTCTTATTGATATATTTTATTATATTTTATTACGTTTTTAAAATTTTTGTATTTAAAAATATATAATGTAGAAAATAATATAGAAATTTTTTAAAAAATATTATTGAAATATACAGGATGTCAAAAAAAGTGAAGAAAAAATATGTAATTTGTAATTAACAATTACATATTTTATTCCGAAACAATTATGTGTTTTCTTTACGCCAATTGATTTCTTTCATTCTTTTGGTAACAGATAATTCTGTATATGCAATACATGTGGAAAAATTAATTAATATAATAAAAAATTAATTATCATAATAAAAATTCAGAAGATTTAAAATGTACAAATATACGATTATTAAAGAGATTATAGATGTTCATTTTATTAAATGTATTTAATTTGAATTGCAAAATATAATACACACATAAGTATATATATATATATATAAAATAAATCTTAAAATTATCTTATTATTAATTATTTAGCCTTCATTGGAAGCCAATGTCCCTAGTTGAAAGTATACTACTTCAAGATAGAAATTACAAATATAAATACTGATAAATATTAATTATATTTACAAGGAATAATAATATCAAAAAATTTTGCTTCATTGAAATCAAACAACATTGGACTTTATACTTAAATGTGACGTTTGAAAATATGTGATGTTGATATTTTTTTTTCGTTTTTTTTCCCTTTTAGAAAAGAAAAAAAAATTATAAAAATAAAAACAGCGGACGCTTAGATTGACTATGATTTGATGTTTTATGCAAATTTTTTTTACATAACTCCTGTATAATCTATGCCGCACGCAACTGCGGTATTTAAATTCGAGCTAGACTAAAGGATTCGATCAGTAGGCTTCCCGATGCGAACGCGTTAACATCTATGCGAGAGAGTGGCTGTAAAATCAGATATATACGATAATGACGCAAGATTATGATCTGTCCCGTCATCGTTCGGTGCTCCTATTTTTCCTTTGCTATGCCGCGTTGTCGATCACGATTGCGCAATATTGCGTGGAAAAAGACGTCAATCCGATTTGCGATGAAAGTATGTAAATGTAAATACATGTAAATGTAAATACATGATTTTGTAGGTCACATTGAATTATGCAAAGGAGTGTCGAGAGCTTATCGATCATTATGCGATAGATTTTTTATACATATATATATCTCTTTAAGAACTTTGTACCACACATGTCATTTAACTCAACAAAAGCTATATTTGTTTATTTTGTTCGCTGAAATTTGCCAAGTCTTAAAATGTATATTACACAAATTGCAGAATAATACTAGCATAATTATACATTATTATATAACTGCAATAATAGTAAAGCGTGTATTCATGAATAACTTTTCTTGGAAGAAACAAAAGATTTGAATAAAATAATATTGAATTATTATATATATATGATTGATATATAAAGTTTAAAATTTTCCGTTTAAATTAAAAATAACGATTAATAAAGTAGCATTAGTTTAAAATCTTGTTAATCGCTGATTTATTATTATAACACGCATAAATCAATCTTCTTTGCATGATTTTAGCTGCAACAAAATGCAGAAAAGAATTTAATTAATGTATGAATAGTTCAGATATTAGTTTAATATTATAACATTTAGATATATGTATAATGCACAACATCCTGACATCGTAGAAAATCGAAAATCTTCCTACCTAAATATAAAACTTTCATCACAAATACCATTTATAGATATATATATATATATATATATATATATATATATATATATATATATTTGTTTTTGTGATATTAAAAAATTAAATCTCAACATATTGTTATTAGTCATTGACATATTTTTAAATATAAATTAATTGTCACTACAAATCAAATTTAAATTTTAAAATCTACTCTTATAAAAAAATTGGAAGACAAAGTATAATAAAATAATTTCAATTTATAATTATCAAAATAATTTACTTCGTGCAAAGCCTTTATAAATTTAATCTGAATTCAGTCTAAATCTCTAACATTATTATTCTGATTAAATATATATATATATATATATATATATATTTTATTATGATATACACATATACACATCTCTTATTAATAATAATATCCACTATTATTATAGAAAAATGTGTATATATCAAGGCGAATATTCCTAGCGTTTTTTCACAAAACTCTTATCCGGATATCGATTAAGACAGATAATGAGAGAATATCTTATAATATTTATAAACACATACGTATCCACTGTCGCAATGTTATTAGCATGTACAGTCTTACACAACTCCCGATCTCGATAAGCGCTCTCTCCTTTCATAATCCGAACCACGTATTCAGAGATCACTTTATTCTAGAAACATGCATCGCGTGCTTCTGCAGACATTTGTGCTGTTGCTAAAAGTATTTGTTTCCTTAGAGCAACCTGTGCTTCAATTGGAGTTGATCCAAGTGGTAAGTAAACGTAAAGATTTATATGTATGAATTATTAGTACATGATTTTAATACACATGACAGTAGTACATGATATTAGTATCGTTATAAAAGACTGCGATAATTATATTTTATAAAATTAAAGTATTTATACTATTTCATATATATTACCATTTCATATATATAAATATAAATATATATATATATATATATATATATACAGGGTGGGCCATTTTAAGTGATCCACCCCAATAACTTTTTTATATTTGAATGTACAACAAAATGTTTCAAATAAAAGTTGCTTGACTTCGAGGGGGACAGAAGATGGGTGGCAAAAATTTGACCTTGGATAGTCATTTGAAGGTCACATAAAGATTACCTTCAATTTCTTAAATGGAACCCCTACTTTTCATTGCATATTCTTGTAGCTTATCTCGAGAGCTTTCCAAAACACTATAATTAAGTACCTTTTCGTTAAGTACTTTTTGAATTATAAGGCTTGAAATCATTTCTTAATTTTACATAAACCATAAAATATCTAGTAAACCATTCATTTTTCGATTATCTTACCTTGATACTTTTATGTACAAAATAATGAGAGGAATCAATTGGTGTAAAGAAAACATACAGTTGTTTTTAAGAAAAAATGGAATTGTTAATTGCAAATTACATATTTTTTCTTAGAAACAACTATGTGTTTTCTTTACACCAATTGATTCCTCTCATTATTTTGTACATAAAAGTATCAAGGTAAGATAATCGAAAAATGAATGGTTTACTAGATATTTTATGGTTTATGTAAAATTAAGAAATTATTTCAAGCCTTATAACTCAAAAAGTACTTAATAAAAAGGTACTTAATTATAGTGTTTTGGAAAGCTCTCGAGATAAGCTACAAGAATATGCAATGAAAAATAGGGGGTTCCATTTAAGAAATTGAAGGTAATCTTTATGTGACCTTCAAATGACTATCCAAGGTCAAATTTTTGCGACCCATCTTCTGTCCCCCTCGAAGTCAAGCAACTTTTATTTGAAACATTTTGTTGAACATTCAAATATAAAAAAGTTATTGGGGTGGATCACTTAAAATGGCCCACCCTGTGTGTGTATATATATATATATATATATATATATATATATATATATATATGTATAATATTAATACAGGGTGTCCCAAAAGTCCCGGACCGGTCGAATATTTCATAAACTATGTACTTTAGAAAGAAATGTTTTAGACAAAAGTTGTATGGCTTGAAGGGGGCCATCAGTTAGTGACAATGATTTGACATGAGAGAGTCATTTGAAAGTCACGTGAAGATCATCGTCAATTTCTTAAATGGAACTCCCTACTTTTTATTAAATATTCTGATAGCTCACGTCGAGAGCTTTCCAAAATACTATAATTAAGTTAGTTTTTATTAAGTACTTTCCGAGTTATGAGGCTTGAAATTATTTCTTAATTTTACATAAACCGTAAAATATCTTGTAAAATATTCATTTTTCGATTATTTTATCTTAATACTTTTACAAAATAATGAGAGGAATCAATTGGTGTAAAGAAAACACATAGTTGTTTTAAAAAAAAAAATTTGTAATTGTTAATTGCAAATTACATATTTTTTTCTTATAAACAACTATGTTCGAACACTCCGTATGCTATAGCGATGTAATGACACGTTTCCGACCTTAGATTTATTTGTAAAAAATGATTCTTATGGTGCCCCCGACAATCTCTGAAAATTTGTCGGTTGAATTTCCGAACACCCTGTATATTATATAAGTAATAGTAATATGATACAATATTAAATAATCGAAATATATTGCGTATTTAGTTGATGAGACATGGAGAACGGACGCCGTTACTTAAAGAAACGTATCCTAAAGATCCATATAATGAATCAGCTTATGAACCATGGGGTATGGGCCAATTAACCAATGTAAGTAACGTGTACATTAATAATATATAATATCACATTTATTCAGTTTAAACAGTATTAATTTTAAAAAAAGCAAACGTGCGTATTCTATAATATTATTATGTATCTTATATATATTTTTTATAGCCGATATTCATAGTCCGATCTTATATTTGAGATCGTCTTAAGTTCGAGCTTGAAATGTTACGCAGCTATTTGATTGGTTGAATGAGGTCTTAAGTCAACCTCGGACCAGACTTAAGGCGATCTTAAATATAAGATCGGACTATGAATACCGGCCTATGATATGTTTTGATATATTATTACTTGTTTACGTTTAAATTTTGCTTTTTAAATCTATTATCTTTATTTATTTGGAGCAATAAATCTGTGCATGTATATCTATTATTTTTAATATACATGTATTATTTATATATTTTTTGATTATGATTATCAATTATTCAATTCATACAATTAATTTTGCGCAATTTACTTTATATTTGGAATTAATTTATTTCCTTCTCTCTTTTTGTCATACGTATTAAAAATTTTGAAAAGTTTTATGTCTATATAATATTATATTAACATAAATATGAAATTTTGATCTGCAGACAATCAATTAAATATTATTATGCCTTATTTATGATTATCTCATAACTTGATATTTTTATTATTAATATTATTTTATAAATACATTTAATATAAAAAATGTTCTCCTTTACTTCTGTATAATGTTGAGATTCTAATCACAAATATTTCTGATTGTAAGCGACTGTAAGAATTTGATAGATTGTCAATTAAGTATAAAAAATAAATATACTTATCTTGGAATTTTTTAGCAAGGAAAATTGACGGAATATCGAATCGGTACAATGTTGAGACAACGTTACAGTCATTTTCTGGACTCGCTCTATCGTCCATATGATATTTATGCTGTTAGCACGGAAGCCGATCGCACAAAAATGTCTCTGCAATTGATGTTAGCAGGATTGTATCCTCCCGATACGAGACAAATGTGGAATCCGGATTTACCATGGCTTGCCATTCCGACACACTACGTGCCTAAAAGAGTGGATATGTTATTAAAGAGTGAAGGTTGTTCAATGTTAGTAACAAATCTTTATCACAAATTTTATTGATTAAAAATAGCATTACTTTAAATTTCTTCAATTTTTCGTTATAGATTTTTTAATCAAATGCATTGCTGAGAATTGAAAAACATCTTGCCGAAATTAATATTTTAACATTCGGAATTTAATATTCTACATAAAAAGTATTTATTAATAAATACATTTTTTTAAATAGTTGTAAATTTCAATTCTCAAACATAATGTTAAAGAATCTGGACTTTTCTAGAAATCATATTTTGTAATTATATTTTTTTAGATACAACGCAGCTTTAGCAGAAGTAAAAAAAACAAAAGAAATCCGCGATAAAATCGCAGTTTACAAAGATTTTTTGAAATTTTTAAGCGAAAAGACGGGATTAGTCATTGAAGAACCGTTGCGCGCTTATGAAATTTACAATCTGCTAACAGCTCAAGTAAGCTGAATTTTTTTAGATAAATATATATTGCTTTACATAAAAAAATATTTCACATATTTACATCATCAATTTATATTAATAAGCACATTAATTTACCTTTTCTTGGAAAACTTTATTTCTCTTTTTTTCTGTCTTTCTTTTTATAATTAAAACGATCAAATTATTTAAATTAAATTTATTTAAATATAAATTCATATATTTAATTATCGAGCATTTTCTGTAAATATTTAATAATAATAATATACTTTCAGAAAACTATGAATTTAACTTTACCAGAATGGTGTACTGATGAAGTGTACAGAAAGATGCAAGACATAGTCGTGCTAGAGTACGATATCCGTTCATATACGACTCAGTTAAAACGATTGAACGGTGGTATGTTGATTAAAAAATTCCTTGAAAATATGAATTTAAAGAACGAGAGTACGAATCCGCGCAAAATGTACGTATATAGCGGCCACGAAATAAATCTTGCGGCATTCGCCAGAGCACATAATATCAGCGAGCCAAGATTACCGGATTACGGATCAATGTTTATATTCGAGAAGTTGCGGGATAAGGAAAACAATCTTTATATCAGGGTAATCATATTTGCAAAGCTGCAATTAATTCGCGCACAATTAAAACAATTAAATTAATATACAATTAAAAATACATTTATATTTTAAATTGGAACTTATATTATTCTGTTAACGTGTACCTTTTTGTTCAAAGATTATTCTATGGACCGGTACCACAGAAAAATTGGTGACTATCAAGCTGGCAGATTGCGACGAAATATGCTCTTTGAAAACTTACTTAAATCTCGTTCGTGAAGTAATACCTTCAGAGGAGGAGACAAATTGCTTATGGGACAATATAACCAAAAAAGAACTGCTAGAACTCTTTGCTGAAAGATTAATACAAAATTAATAAAAAAAAATAATATAGATAATATTATAGATAATACAGATTAAATAGAAATTATAGATTATATATTTTTATACGCATGAATAATAAAGTTCAGAAAGTAAGTAAAAGATATAAAAGTATGATATATTAATTGCATTATTAAGTTGTTTTTCTTTATAACACATTATTTTCATTTTATACAGAGAAACTAGTTTAGTAAAAGTGAGTAAAATTACAAAAAGAATTAAGTGTTTCGTTTTAATAAATAATAAGAGAACTAATCTTGATTTACAGTTTATTAAAATCATAATTAGCAAAACAAATTTCTTTATTATGTCCTTTTTGTATGGTTTAAGATTGCAGTGTCGATTAAAAATGATTCACTGAGATTTAAATAATGTAATAGTAAAATAAATAAATAAAGATAATTGTTTTCGAAAAAATAACATTTGTAATAACCTCTCCTATGGAGTATAACTGCATTATTATACTCAATTATTCACGTATATTCTGTCAGAAATGTAACAATATAACTTTTTATTAAATTTAAATAAAAATTATGCATTTAAAATATTTTATGGACATTTTAATTAGCACTATGCGTTATTGCCATTTCGTTTTTTTATTAAATTGATGTTCTTCTTTATTAAATTATATGTTTCGCTCTCCAAGGTGATAAGATACTCCGTGTTAGCATATTTCGGAGTCTGCCTCTTGTCGCAAACTATATCTTCGTCAGATGAAATCAAATCGTGAATTAGATACGAGAACTTGTCGAAAGGACAGAGCATTTCACAACCTGGTATCTGAAGCTCGTCAAAGATCGGCGGAATGCCTCGATAATATAAAAACTATAAAAGATTTATAAAATTATAAAATAATACTTATTGTTAATAAAACAAACGCGACATGAATAATTAAATTTATATCTTCATATCTTAATTGATAATTTAATAATTGACACAATCATCTCTCTTTGATTATTAAATATTTTTATTAAAAAACTAATTAAAAATTTTACAGAAAACAAGGATAAATTAAAAGAAGATGAATTAAAATTTATAATAATAACAAATAAGAGAAATAATATTAATTTTAATGAATTCACGGACGTTTACATCGCAAAAGATATGATATATTCATTTCAAGATTTCGATTTCAAGATATTCTGTATATCTTGAGAAATCATAGAATCATTGAATTAATATTGACGCGTAATTAAGCAGAGAAATAAAGAAATATTATTGATAACATCAACTCACTTTCACGTAATACTGCTTGTTTTGCTCCAATAATTCTAAAATAACCGCACTGGAGTATTCAGGTACATGAGGTTTATATAATTTAAATGCTTGTAACATCGTCACGATGTTAACGTCGTGACCGCTATACAAATAAAGCTTTGTATTCGATGGGATTGGATTTTTTCCAGCTATCATATTATTGAGTATGGCGCGAATCATCGGGCCTGAAGCAGAAAAGAACTTTTATAAATATATATTGTAAAAAGTATTTACAAATAAAATTATAAAGATACAATTTTCTAGACATATCTTACCAGCTAAGAGCTTTCTTATTAAAGGAGTAAAACCGTTAATATTATATGCGAATACAGTTGTATCGAACAGTGGCCCATCAGGAAAGTAATCGTGCACCCATTCGGGAAGGGTTAGATTCATGGACGACTCCGCTACAAAAGTCTGATACAAAAATACAAATCATTAGGCTTCTCGATATTTTTACCAGTTAATTCCGTCAACTTGCTCATTATGTCCTTAAATCGGGACATTTCCTTTTTTATTTCGGGCAAATTCAATATACGATCGTATTCATCGAGATATCTGAAACGCATCTTAGATATAAATCTAATCCTCTTTCGCATGAATCTTCGAGTTTGAAAAAACACTTCTTTATCTTCATTTTTATAATATTTGAAGTTGTTTTCTTAAAATATTTTTTTATTAATTGTCTGTACATACATTGTATTTTATTTTTATTTATATTTTAGAAAATAATACATATATCAATGAATTTAATTAGATATAAATAAATAGATATTTTATTTAAACAAATTTTTAAATAAATTTCTGATTTACAGTTTTTTTTAAATTTATATCTCATAATATTAATAAAACTTACTCTGGACAATCGTAACCCCAGTAAAAATTATCGTCGATACGTGACACATATGTCACTGGAATTGGTTGCCAGTTTAAATCAGTGTTCCATCGTTGTCGATGGTCCATAGGCGGAAACAAAGCAGCAAGAACGAGTTTTAGGGACATCTTTGTTCTATCAAAATCGGAACTATGACCCATGACGAGCTTTGGTAGATACAAATCACCCAGGAAGTCTTTATATCTGCTGCGCAAAGTTCGTCCTAATTCATATTCACGATTTTTGCCATTCTATAAAAATGCATATATAATGCATATATAATTGAATAAAAATGCATATAAAAATTTCTATAAAAATGCATATATAATTGAATAGATTAATCGATTTTAAATCCTTAAAAATAGATTAATTGATTTTCATATTAACATTGAAGCGAATTTAATTTAATTTTTAATTAATACATTCTATATTAAAATAGATAAAATAGAAATTTATTTTATAAAAAGTTTTGTTTTTAGAAAACGGAAAGCATTAGCTTTATAACTTCTCAGCAAAACAATTTAAAATAAATATTGTGCATGAACATTTTCTGCACGTGTGTATGATATTAGAAGATCGAAAATCACATACACACAAAATGTTCGTGAATATTCAATATTATAGATATTGGTTTATAACATTTCCATTAATTCATTCTTTTCACTATATTCACTATTTTCTTTCAGAAAAAATATTAAAGTGAAATAAAAATAAAATAAAAGTAAAATAAAAGTAAAATAAAGTTACATTATTTACATTGGTTAATTGACCGACACCTGTCAGATAAAATGAATCATTTATGTATGGATCAGTCGGAAACGATTCATCTCTGTCATTACTGGGTGTTCGATCGCCATGTCTAAGCACCTATGTACAAAGGTTGAGTGAAATTCATTATTATTGATTATTTGCGGTCGGAAAGTTAAATAATCCGGAAAAAAGAGAATGTGGTTAGATTTAAATTTCATATATTTATATCTTATATTCTTTTTTATTTAATTTTAATCTCATTTTATATTTTATTTTAATATAAAATGCTAAATGTCATTTTCTCTTAAATTAAACAAGTCAACAACAATATCTTACCACATTAATTAATTTTAATTCAGGCTGTATACTTGCAGTCCAAATCGCGTTTAAACTGAGGACTAGAGCTATTGACAAATAATTGTCGACAATGTAGAACGATACCATGTTGCTGATAGCTAAACTGTGACAACGCAATGTCACAATGTTCGATTTATAGTTAATTCTAATTTGAGAGTGATAAATGTCATAATAGTGATAAAATTTATGATGAAGTTGCTTTATATAAACAACTGTAAAATTGGACGAACTATCTTATGTTTCTTTGTTCGAAATAAACTTGCGAATGATAGCATGCTTATGTAAACCATAAAATGAATGCAAGATAAAGATAAGAAATAAGTAGCAATAAAGAGCTTGAAACGTTTTTTAATATGCTGTAAGAAATAAAAGGCCTTATTTGACTGAAGAAGCACTAATATGTGCAGAGAGGTCCTACATTTGTATGTATAATAAATTAATTATTATATAATAAATTATATAATAAATTGAATTAAATAAATTAAATTATATATTAATATACTAAATTATATTAAATATAATTTTCAAGGAGAAATTTGCATGAGTCAGCCTTCTTTATGACTTACCTTTATGACCTAATCTTTTAACAAAAGATTCTTCATTTAACAACTTGATAGCGCGTCGAGAACAAATTCATTTAAATCTCGTTTGTGAAATAACATTTTTTGACCAGGAGACGACTTGCTTATGGGACAATGTAATCAAGAAAGAATTGTTAAAACACTTTACTAAAAAATTAACTCTATAAAATCAATAAAATAGTTTTATATAGTTAATATTACGTAGATTAAATAGAAGTTATATACATTTAAACGCATGAATAATGAAGCTTAAAAAATGAGTGAAAAGTATAAAAATATGATATGTTAATTGCATTAATAAATTGCTTTTATTCTTTATAACACATTATTTTCATTGATACAGAAAAACTAGTTTACCATAAATGAGTAAAATTATAAAAAGAATTAGGGTATTTTGTTTTAGTAGATGATAAGAAAACTCTAATCTTGATCTGCAATTTATTATAATTATAATTAGCAAAACAAATTTCTTTATTATATTCCTTTTAAATTGTTTAATGTTGCAGTGTCGATTAAAAATGATTTACTAATATTTAAATATGTAACAATAAAATAAATAAATAAAGATAATTGTTATAACTGCACGTTTACAAGACTCAATTATTCACGTTTACTGTCAGAAATGTAACAATATAATTTTTTATTAAATTTAAATAAAAATTATGGATTTAAAATATTTTATGGATGTATAACATTTTAATTAGCACTATGCGTTATTGCTATTTCGTTTTTTTTTTATTAAATCGATGTTCTTCTTTATTAAATTATATGTTTTGCTCTCCAACGTGATTGGATATTCCATGTTAGCATATTTCGGAGTTTGCCTTTTGTCGCAAACTATATCTTCGTCAGACGGAATCAAATCGTGAATTAGATATGAGAACTTGTCGAAAGGACAAAGCATTTCACAACCTGGGATCTGAAGCTCGTCAAAGATTGACGGAATACCTCGATAATATAGAAACTATATAAAAGATTCATAAAATTATAAAATAATACTTATTGTTAGTAAAACAAACGCGACATGAATAATTAAATCGATATTTTCATATATTAATGGATAATTTAATAATTGACATAATCATCTTTCTTTAATTGTTTAATATTTTTATTAAAAAACTAATTAAAAATTTTATAGAAAACAAGGATTGATAAATTAATAATTATAATAAAAATTAAATTAAAAATTATAACAAAAAAGAGAAATAATATTAATTTTAATAATGATTTACATCACAAAAGATATGATATATTCATCGATTTCCAGATATTCTATATATCTCGAGAAATCATAGATTGAATTAATATTGACGCGTAATTAATCAGAGAAATAAAGAAATTTTAAATTTGATAACATACTCACTTTCACGTAATTCTGCTTGTTTTGCTCCAATAATTCTAAAATAACCGCACTAGAGTATTCAGGTACATGAGGTTTATACAATTTAAATGCGTGTAATATCGCTGCGATGTTAGTTTCGTGACCACTATACAAATAAAGCTTTGTATTCGATGGGATTGGATTTTTTCCAGTTATCATATTGTTGAGTATGGCGCGAATCATCGGGCCTGAAGCAGAAAAGAACTCTTATAAGTATATATCGTAAAAAGTATTTACAAATAAAATTATAAAGATACAATTTTCTAGACATATCTTACCAGCTAAGAGCTTTTTTATTAAAGCAGTAAAACCGTTAATATTATATGCGAATACAGTTGTATCGAACAGTGGCTCAGGAAAGTAATCATGCACCCATTCGGGAAGGGTTAGATTCATGGACGATTCTGCTATGAAAGTATGATACAAATAGTGTAAGTCCAAAGGTTTCTCGATTTTCTTACCCGTTAATTCCGTCAACTTGCTCATTATGTCTTTAAATCGTGACATCCCTTTTTTTATTTCGGGCAAATTCAATATACGATCGTACTCATCAAGATATCTGAAACACATCTTAGATATAAATCTATTCGTCTTTCGCATAAATCTTTGAGTTTGAAAAAATATTTCTTTATCTTTATATTTATAATATTTAAAGTTGTTTTCTTAGAATATCTTTTTATTAATTGTTTATACATATATTGTATTTTATCTTTATTTATTTTTTCGGCAATACGTATATCAAAGAATTTATTAGATAAAGGTAAATAGATATTTCCAGTTAAACAATAAATTTCTGTTTACGGTTTCCTTTGATTTATGTCTGATAACATTAGTCAATCTTACTTTGGACAATTAAAACCCGTATAAAAATTGTCGTCGATGCGTGATATATATGTCATCGGAATTGGTTGCCAGTTTAAATCAGTGTTCCATCGTTGTCGGTGATCCGTAGACGAAAACAAAGCAGCCAGAACGAGCTGCAGGGACATCTTTGTTCTATCATAATCGGAACTGTGAGCTACGACAAGCTTTGGCAAATACAGACCACCCAGGAAGTCTTTATATCTAGCCCGCAAAGCTTGTCCTAAATCATATTCACGTTTTTTGCCATGCTATAGAAATTTATAAATAATTGAATAGCTTTATCAATTTTAAATCATTAAAAATGCATTACTGATTTTCGATCATATTAACATTGTACCGAAATTCAATTTTAAATCAGTATATTCGACATTAAAATAGAAATTCATTTTATAAAAAGTTTCATTTTCTGAAATTAGAATAGCATGTATTAAGTTTATAATTTCTCAGCAAAAGATTTTTAAATAAATTTTGTGCACATGTGTATGATTTTAGAAGATCGAAAATCACCTACACACAAAATGTTCGTGAATATTCAGTATTATAAATATTGATATTTTTTAACATTTCCATTAATTTATCCTTTAAGATCTATTATTCTTCAGAAAAAATATTAAAGTGAAATAAAATAAAGTTACATTATTTACATTGGTTAATTGACCGACACCTGTCGGAAAAAATGAATCATTTACGTATGGATCAGTCGGAAACGATTCATCTCCGTCATTACTGGGTGTTCGATCGCCGTGTCTAAACACCTATGTACAAAAGTAGAGTGAAAATAATTATTATTAATTATTTGCACTCGGAAAGTTAAATTATCCGGAAAATAAGAGAATTTGGTTAGATTTAAATTTTATATATTTATATCTTATATTTTACTTAATTTTAATTTAATTTAATTTAATTTTATTTTTAATTTTAATTGTAATTATATATTTAATTTTAATATAAAGCTAAATGTTACCTTTAATAAATAGTTTTTTGTAAATACTAATCTTTAGTAAATTAGTAAATGTTATCTTAAATGTTATCTTAAAAAAGTTAACAATAATATCTTACCACATTAATTAATTTTAATTCAGGATGTATACTTGCACTCACAATCGCGTTTAGACTGATGACTAAAGTTATCGACATATAATTATCGAGAATACAGAACGACACCATGTTACTGATACCTAATGTGAACAAGTAATGTCACACGATTTATTCCAATTCGTTAATTCCAATTCGAGAATGATAAATGACTTAATAGCGATACAGCGATAAAAGCTTCTTTATATAAACAAGTGTAAAAATGTGCAAACTATAATCTTATGTTTCTTTGTTTGCAATAAACTTGCGAATAATAGCATGAGTTAAATGTAAAATGAATGCAAAATAAAGATAAGAAATAAGAAGGAATAAGAAGCTTAATCGTTTTTTACTACGCTGCAAGAGATAAAAGGCCTTACTTGACTGAAGAAGCATTAATATGTGCAGAGAGATCCTACTTTTGTATGTATATATATATATATATATATATATATATATATATAATTAATATTTAATATAATAAATTATATTAAATAAATTAAATTATATATTTATATAGTAAATCATATTAAATACAATTTTCAAGGAGAAATTTGCTCGAGTCAGTCTATTTTATGACTTATTTTTATGACCTCTTTTGATAAAAGATCTTTTATTTAGAAGCGTGATAAAAAATTTTCGTTGATAATTCGAAAACAAAATTTTTATATTTGAATTATAATCTTTATATTTGAAAAAAATTTTCAAATATAAATTTTTATTTAACAAATTAATATTTTGAATAATACACACACACACACACACACACACACACACACACACACACATATGCACACACACACACACATATGCACACACACACACACACATACACACACACATATATATATATATATATATATATATATATATTTGACGATAAACATTAATCGCAAACATTTTCCGGAAGTCAACAATTAAAATAAAATATATTTTTGAATTTACTATATAACATTCATTAAATTTTATTACATATGAAATATGAGGGATCTTGTAAAAAATCTTTCTTATATTCCTATCTTTCTACATATATTCCTTCGCATAAAGAATATTTTATTCGAATGCTGCAAATTAATTGCCAACACTAAAAAGAGAAACTTAAAAATTATTTATTAATTATATAATGTGGAAACATAAAAAATATAAAGAGAATGTTACATAAATTAAATTATTAATTTATCTTTATTTTATATAAAATATATATTATGTATTCTCAAATATCTAATAAAAAATCAATACAAAAGCAACGAATCATAATTTTTTAAAGTGTATATTTTTGCATTTGGTACATAATGTATATATATATATATATATATATATATATATATATAATACACTTCAACAAAGGTAATTTAAAATAACATATCGTTATAATATCAAATCCACATTTTCAATAAATTATTCCTTCAAACAGTGTTTTTCAGTTAATTCCTAAAACATTTTGCCACATTTAGAACAAGAAAAATATTCAAGACATTTGTAATAAATGAAATAATTAATATGTAAAATTTGCGCAAGATTTGTTAATACATGTGTATGCATTTTTAAAATCATTTCCAGCATCTCTTAGAATAAAATGAAAACTATGTACAAACTGCTAATAAGAATGATATAAATATTTTGCAGAAATACAGGTATATGAATCGTTATTTGTTAATATCAGCAGCAAATATTTTATTAAATATTATATTGCTATCCTGACAAATTGCTAACTAACAAAATATGTTTTTTAAACTCATTTGAATTTCGTTTGTGAAATAATGTTATCCGACGAGGAGATGTAATCAAGAAAGAATTGTTAAAACTCTTTACTAAAAAATTAACTCAAAATCAATAAAAAAATTTTATATAAATAACCTTTCATAGATTAAATAAAAATTATATACATTTATACGCATAAATAGTGAAGCTTAGAAAATGAGTGAAAGATATAAAAGTATGATATATTAATTGCATTAATAAATTGCCTTCATTCTTTATAACACATTATTTTCATTGATACAGAAAAACTAGTTTCCGAAACTAGTTTACGAAAAGTAAGTAAGTAACAAAAAGGATTAAGGTATTTTGTTTTAGTACATGATAAGGACCAACCTTTATCTACAACTTATTAAAATCATAATTAGCAAAATTTCTTTATTATATACAAATTTCTTTATTATATTTTCTTCGAATCGATTAATTTTGCAATGTCGAAAAATGATTTAATGATATTTATATAACAGTACAATAATAAATACAGATAATTGTTTTCAAAAAAAAAATATTTGTAATTACTTCTCTGTATGAAACATAATTGCATTATTATTTTTTATTATATACAAATTATGGATTTAAAATATTTTATGGATATACAATATTTAAATTATTACTATGCGTTAATGCGATTTCATTTCTTAATTAAATTTATGTTTCTTTATTAAATTGTATGTTTTGCTCTCCAACGTGATAGGATATTCCGTGTTAGCATATTTCGGAGTCTGCCTCTTGTCGCAAACTATATCTTCGTCAGATGGAATCAAATCGTGAATTAGATACGAGAACTTGTCGAAAGGACAGAGCATTTCACAACCTGGGATCTGAAGTTCGTCAAAGATCGGCGGAATGCCTCGATAATATAGAAACTATATAAAAGATTTATAAAATAATACTTATTGTTAATAAAACAAACGTGAAATGAATAATTAAATTTATATTTTCATATATTAATGGATAATTTAATCATTGACATAGTCATCTTTCGTTAATGGTTTAATATTTTTATTAAAAAATTAATTAAAAATTTCATACAAAGCAAGGATTGACAAATTAAAAATTATAATGATAACAAAAGAGAAATATTAATTTTAATATTGATTTACATCACAAAAAATACGACATATTCATCGATTTCAAGATATTCCATGTATATATCTCGAAAAATCAGAGATTGAATTAATATTGACGCGTAATTAATCAGAGAAATAAAGAAATGTTATGTTTGATACTCACTTTCACGTAATACTGCTTGTTTTGCTCCAATAATTCTAAAATAACCGCACTAGAGTATTCAGGTACATGAGGTTTATACAATTTAAATGCGTGTAATATCGATGCGATGTTAGCTTCGTGACCACTATACAAATAAAGCTTTGTATTCGATGGGATTGGATTTTTTCCAGCTATCATATTATTGAGTATGGCGCGAATCATCGGGCCTGAAGCAGAAAAGAACTTTTATAAATATATATTGTAAAAAGTATTTACAAATAAAATTATAAAGATACAATTTTCTAGACATATCTTACCAGCTAAGAGCTTTCTTATTAAAGGAGTAAAACCGTTAATATTATATGCGAATACAGTTGTATCGAACAGTGGCCCATCAGGAAAGTAATCGTGCACCCATTCGGGAAGGGTTAGATTCATGGATGACTCGGCTGCGAAAGTATGATACAAAAAGTACACATCAATAGGCTTCTCGATATTTTTACCAGTTAATTCCGTCAACTTGCTCATTATGTCCTTAAATCGGGATATCTCTTTTTTTATTTCGGGCAAATTCAGTATACGATCGGACTCATCAAAATATCTGAAATGCATCTTAGATATAAATCTATTCGTCTTTCGCATAAATTTTTGAGTTTAAAAAAATATTTCTTTATCTTTATATTTATAATATTTAAAGTTGTTTTCTTAGAATATCTTTTTATTAATTGTTTATACATATATTGTATTTTATCTTTATTTATTTTTTCGGCAATACGTATATCAAAGAATTTATTAGATATAGGTAAATAGATATTTCCAGCTAAACAATAAATTTTTGTTTACGGTTTCCTTTGATTTATGTCTGATAACATTAGTCAATCTTACTTTGGACACTCATAACCCTCATAAAAATTGTCGTCGATATGTGATATATATGTCGTCGGAATTGGTTGCCAGTTTAAATCAGTGTTCCATCGTTGTCGGTGATCCGTAGGCGAAAACAAAGCAGCAAGAACGAGCTGCAGGGACATCTTTGTTCTATCAATATCGGAACTGTGACCCACGACAAGCTTTGGCAAATACAAATCACCCAGGAAGTCTTTATATCTAGCCCGCAAAGCTTGTCCTAAATCATATTCACGTTTTTTGCCACGCTAGATATTGTGTAAATAATTGGATTGATTAATTGATTTTAAATCATTAAAAATGCATTACTGATTTTCGATCATATTAACATTGTACCGAATTTAATTCAATTTTAAATCAGTATATTCTACATTAAAATTCATTTTATAAAAAGTTTTATTTTCTGAAATTAAAATAGCATGTGTTAGCTTTATTATAATTTCTCAGCAAAAGATTTTTAAATAAATTTTGTGCACATGTGTATGATTTTAGAAGATCGAAAATCACCTACACACAAAATGTTCGTGAATATTCAGTATTATAAATATTGATATTTTTTAACATTTCCATTAATTTATCCTTTAGGATCTATTATTCTTCATAAAAAATATTAAAGTGAAATAAAATAAAGTTACATTATTTACATTGGTTAATTGACCGACACCTGTCGGAAAAAATGAATCATTTACGTATGGATCAGTCGGAAACGATTCATCTCTATCACTCCTAGGTGTTCGATCGCCGTGTCTAAACACCTATGTACAAAAATTGAGTGAGAATAATTATTATTAATTATTTGCAGTCGGAAAGTTAAATTATCCGGAAAATAAGAGAATTTGGTTAGATTTAAATTTTATATATTTATATCTTATATTTTACTTAATTTTAATTTAATTTAATTTAATTTAAATTTTAATTTTATATTTGATTTTAATATAAAGTGCTAAATGTTACCTTTAGTAAATTGTTTTTTGTAAATAATAATCTTTAGTAAATTAGTAAATGCTATCTTAAAAAAGTTAACAATAATATCTTACCACATTAATTAATTTTAATTCAGGCTGTATACTTGCAGTCACAATCGCGTTTAGACTGATGACTAGAGTTATCGACAAATAATTGTCGAGAATACAGAACGATACCATGTTACTGATACCTAATGTGAAAATGTAATGTCATTTCATTTATAGTTAATTCCAATTCTTGAATGATAAATGTCGTAACAGCGATACAGCAATAAAAGTTTTTTTATAAACAAATGTAAAAATGTGCAAACTATAATCTTATGTTTCTTTGTTCGCAATAAACTTGCGAATAATAGCATGCGTACGTTAAATGTAGTACGTAAAATGAATGCAAAATAAAGATAAGAAATAAATAGGAGTAAGGAGCTTAAATCGTTTTTTACTACACTTTACAAGAAATAAAACGCCTTACTTGACTGAAGAAGCATTAATATGTAAGGAGCTTAAATCGTTTTTTATTACACTGCAAGAGATAAAACGCCTTACTTGACTGAAGAAGCATTAATATGTGCAGAGAGATCCTACTTTTGTATATATATAATAAATTATATTAAATTAATTAAATTATATATTCATATAGTAAATCATATTAAATATAATTTTCAAGGAATTTGCTCGAGTCAGCCTATTTTATGACTTATTTTTATGACCTCTTTTGATAAAAGATCTTTTATTTAGAAGTATGATAAAAAATTATTGTTGTTAATTCGAAAACAAAATTTTTATATTTGAATTATAATTTTTATATTTGAAAAAAAATTTCAAATATAAATTTTTATTTAACAAATTAATATTTTGAATAATACACACATACACACACATACACGCACACACACACACACAAACATATATATATATATATATATATATATATATATATATAAACTAGAAAAACTAGTTTACGAAACTAGTTTACGAAAAGTAAGTAAAATTACAAAAAGGATTAAGGTGTTTTGTTTTAGTACATGATAAGGACCAACCTTTATCTACAACTTATTAAAATCATAATTAGCAAAACAAATTTCTTTATTACATTTTCTTTGAATCGATTAATTTTTCAATGTCGAAAAATGATTTATTGATATTTATATAACAGTAAAATAAAAAATACAGATAATTGTTTTCAAAAAAAAAATATTTGTAATTACTTCTCTATATGAAACATAATTGCATTATTATTTTTTATTATATACAAATTATGGATTTAAAATATTTTATGGATATACAATATTTAAATTATTACTATGCGTTAATGCAATTTCGTTTCTTAATTAAATTTATGTTTCTTTATTAAATTATATGTTTTGCTCTCCAATGTGATAGGATATTCCGTGTTAGCGTAATCCGGAGTCTGCCTCTTGTCGCAAATCATATCTTCGTCAGACGGAATCAAATCGTGAATTAGGTACGAGAACTTGTCGAAAGGACAGAGCATTTCACAACCTGGGATCTGAAGTTCATCAAAGATCGGCGGAATGCCTCGATAATATAAAAACTATATAAAAGATTTATAAAATTATAAAATAATACTTATTGTTAATAAAACAAACGTGAAATTAATAATTAAATTTATATTTATTTTCATATATTAATGGATAATTTAATTATTGACATAGTCATCTCTCTTTGATTGTTTAATATTTTTATTAAAAAATTAATTAAAAATTTCATACAAAGCAAGGATTAACAAATTAAAAATTATAATAATAACAAAGGAGAAATAATATTAATTTTAATATTGTAATTTTAATATTAATTTTAATATTATAATTTTAATTTACATCTCAAAAGATACGACATATTCATCGATTTCAAGATATATTTCATGTATATATCTCGAAAAATCATATTTCATGTATATATCTCGAAAAATCATAGATTGAATTAATATTGACGCGTAATTAATCAGAGAAATAAAAAAATTTTATATTTGATGTAATATACTCACTTTCACGTAATACTGCTTGTTTTGCTCCAATAATTCTAAAATAACCGCACTAGAGAATTCAGGTACATGAGGTTTATACAATTTAAATGCGTGTAATATCGCTGCGATGTTAGTTTCGTGACCACTATACAAATAAAGCTTTGTATTCGATGGGATTGGATTTTTTTCAGTTATCATATTGTTGAGTATGGCGCGAATCATCGGGCCTGAAGCAGAAAAGAATTCTTATAAATATATATCGTAAAGAGTATGTATACATAAAATTATAAAGATAAAATTTTCTGACTATATCTTACCAGCGTAGAGCTTTCTTATTAAAGAAGAATAACTGGCAATATTATATGCGAATACAGTCGTATCGAACAGTGGTTCAGGAAAGTAATCGTGCACCCATTCGGGAAGGGTTAGATTCATGGACGACTCCGCTACAAAAGTCTGATACAAATATTGTAAATCTAAAGGTTTCTCAATATTTTTACCGGTTAATTCCGTCAACTTTCTCATTATGTCTTTAAATCGTGATATCTCTTTTTTTATTTCGGGCAAATTCAATATACGATTGTACTCATCAAGATATCTGAAACGCATCTTATGTTAGATATAAATCTATTCGTCTTTCGCATAAATCTTCGAGTTTGAAAAAATATTTCTTCATCTTTATATTTATAATATTTAAAGTTGTTTTCTTTGAATATTTTTTAAATTAATTTTCTATATATTGTATTTTATTTTTATGTATTTATTTATTCGAAAAAAAAAAAAAAAAAAAAAAATATATATATATATATATATATATATATATATATATATCAAAGGATCTAATAGATATAGATAAATAGATATATCCATTTAAACAATAAATTTCTGTTTTCCTTTGATTTATGTCTGATAACATTAGTTAAACTTACTTTGGACATTCATCACTCAAGTAAAAATTGTCGTCGATACGTGATACATATGTCACCGGAATTGGTTGCCAATTTAAATCAGCGTTCCATTGTTGTCGACGATCCGTAGGCGGAAATAAAGCAGCAAGAACGAGTTGCACGGACATCTTTGTTCTATCAAAATCGGAACTATGACCCACGACGAGCTTTGGTAGATACTGGTCGCCCAGGAAGTTTTTATATCTGCTGCGCAAAGCTCGTCCTAATTCGTATTCACGTTTTTTGCCACGCTATAGATATTGTGTAAATAATTGGATTGATTAATTGATTTTAAATCATTAAAAATAGATTAATTGATTTATATTAACATTAAAGCAAATTTAATTTAAAATCAATATTTTACATTAAAATAGATAGAAATTTATTTGATAAAAAGATTCATTTTTCGGAAACAGTAAAGCATGTGTCAGCTGCATAATTTCTCGGTAAAAATATTTCAAACAAATTTTGTGCATGTGTTTATAATTTGAGAAGATCGAAAATCATACACACACAAAATTTTTGTGAATATTCAATTTTACAAATATGGGTTTATAACATTTTCATTAATTCATTCTTTTTATTTTACCACTTTCTTTCAGAAAAAATATCAAAATGAAATTACATACGTTAGTCAATTCGCCAAGACCTATCGGAAAAAATGAATCATTTACGTATGAATCAGTTGGAAACGATTCATATCCCTTATTTGGTGTTCGATCGCCATGTCTAAAAACCTATGTACAAAAATTGAGTGAAAATAATTATTTTTAATCATTTGCAGTCCCAAATTTAAATAATAAAGGAAAAAAAAAGAATTTGGTTTAAATTTTATATAAAATGCCGAATATTATTTTATCTTAAATTTAAAAAATTAACATCTTACCACATTAACTAATTTTAGTTCAGGCTGTGTACTTGCGGTCAGAATTGCGTTTAGGCTGATGAATAGAATTGTTGACAAATAATTGTTGAGAATGCAAAACGATGCCATGTAGTTGATACCTAATTTGGATGTCATTCGACTTATAGTTAATTCCAATTCAAGAGTGATAAATGTCGTGGTAGTGATACAATTGATGATAAAAGCTCTTTTATGTAAACAACTACGAAGATATGCAAACTATAAACTGTAAACTGTTCCTTTGTTCGTAATAAATTTGCAAATGATAGTACGCTTACGTAAACCGTAAAACGAATGCAAAGTAAAGATAAGAAATAAGTAGGAATAAGGAATAGTAAGTGGGAATAAGTAAGTAGGGATAAGTAGGAATAAATTTTAAAATATTAGATAAAACATATAAACATTTTATATAATATATAAAAATTTTAGATTTAGAAAAATTTGGTGAACTCGAGGAATATTATAAACAACTTATAGGATCAGAGTTACTTGTATTAACTTTGAAATACTTTTTTTACTTCAAAAATATTTCATTAAAATATATTATTTTATTTAGAAAATATTTTCACTAGCTTTATTCTTAAGAATCCTTATGTAACTTTAAAATATACAATTACGTATATTTATTATTTATTATTTAATATATTCAAGTTTTAATATATATTATTCAATGCGTGTAACTATTGATAATAGTTCGAATAAAATGTATTTGTTATATAAAAGGAAACACATTTATCATTTCTTGCAATTATAATTTAATAATGGAAATCATAAATAATCATTAATAATTGAAAGCCGTATCACGCCAGTTAAACATTACTAGCAACAAGATTAATAGCAATTTATTTTTAACATTTATAATAAATAAAAATGTGACTTTCTATTTGTTGCTATTTTTAATCGTTCAGGTTTGCACAGCTTTATTAAACTTTTTATATAGATAAACACACAATATAAAACTGACATTCCTCTTAACAATATTTATATCTATAAGAGAAATATCAGTTTTATATGGTGTATTTATCTATATAAAAAAATTTAATAACATATATTAAGAATATCTACATGTAGTTTAGTAACATAATATCAAAACTCTGAATAAATGCAGCAGCTTTCTGTGTTTAACACATTAGTTGTAAATGGTGTCGCAGTATTCTGTAAGCTGGATAAGACTGCATGTATATATTCATTCACTAGAATGCATGTATATATTCATAAAATAGAAATACATACCAGATAAATTGCGAAATTAACGCAGCTTAGCAACAGCTGTGAGACATGCAAGACAAATGTCAGCACTACTGATACTCTCATAACACAATAGAATGCATGTTTTAATATCAAACGGTGCAATCAGTGCTGGAGCATATATATGTGCATATATATCTGCTCAGTTTGCATATTCTTTAATAAAATTTTTTATACAATCATATGTAACAAATGCAATTATTGTTAAGTACAAAATATAATAAAATTTATGATAATATTATACCAATGGATCTTCTATCCTTTAAAAGTAATAATAAACAGATTTCAAAGCTAATAATATTGAATGATTACGAATATAATTATTATACAAATATATTTATTACAATAATATTTCTTATAAAACAAACACATTACTATACATTACTATACATTGCAATTAATAATCAGAAATTTATATTATGATTTATGCCTTTGTGTTAACGGAGTAAGATATGGCATAAAATATAAGTCTCCTTTTCAACAAAATTTGAACAAGAATCTGAAGTGAGATCTAAATTAAAATTAAGAAGCTAACGATTTCGACACTCATCGTAAGTTGAAAAGATTGTATATTATATGAATTCACAATAAATATATTTCAACACAAATTTGCGTATCACTATCCGCTTTTATACCTGAATTCGACACTTTGTTTAAATCTGAATTCTTTATATGGATTTGAAACAATTGTTTCTACACTTGCACACGATTCTGCTTTTGAAACAATTATAATTTTTGTAAGAAGCAAAACCATTATATAGGAAGATATAGGAAGATGTAAAATCCTAGTGGACAAAATACATAATATTCTAACGATTATCTTAAAATATATTTTACGTTATTAGTATTACAAAAAAATGCATGCAATAATTAAACGATAACTGAATAAAATTTATATACATTTTTATACACTTTATTTATTAGTAATTTCAAAGAATCTATTCCCCTGTTTTTTTTCTAATCTTTTTCTGTTTCAGGTAATGTTATATATTAAAAATGACATATAATTGTATATTAAAACATATTATATGCTTGAAAATAAATTTATTCATATATACCGTACATTGGAAAGATTGTTCAAAAATGTAACAAGAATTGCAACATATTCTACAATATGGCGACATTTCGCACATAGTCTTCTTAATCTTGGTTTTTGGTTACGATTACAAATGCAAGACGTCATATTATAATGGAATAAATGCATCATAATCCGTTGTAGTTTCTCAGACTGTTTTGAACTCTTGTTGTCCTCTTATTTGGCTTTGTTGGAGATCTGCGAGAATTATGACTAAATCGCCCACATATATTATCGAAAGGAACTTTTTGTGCATTCAAGAAACATGGTTTCAACAAATAGTATGAATTCTTATAAAAGTGAATGGCATGTGTAAGTTGCAACCTTTGCATCGTCGTATCGCAAAATGGCAATGAGATGAAACATGCGGAGAACACATTAATATAGTAGCAAAATGAATAAAACTATATTATTAATAAATATAGAGAAAAGGCTTAAGGAGCGTGAATGACAATTTCATTAATTTAACATTAGTCTGTAAATAAAATTTAATTATTCAAAAAAATTATACCAAAAAATATATATAAGTAATAAAAATATATATAAGTATATTATTAATATAATTATTAATATATAAGTATATTATTAATATAAAAATATATATAAGTATATTATTAATATACGAAATAAGAACGGTATTGATCTTCCGAGTATTCTCTGATAAAACGTTAAACATTGAAAATCTTTACAGGAATAACGACTATAGTATTTAATACGTTACTTCTTGACAAATTACATATTATCATTTATTTTTACGGATTGAATATCTTGTTGCTAATATGAGAATGTATCTAGAAAAGCTGGACATGAGTTAGGTGAATTGCAAAATTAGACTTAGCAACATCTGTGAAACACATGAGACAAATTCAGAAACTTGTCGACTATAGAAGCTGACACTTTTATTATCATACGATGCAAGTGACGCTTGAATTTGGTAAAATATACTTTGGTATGAGAGGTTTATTGTACCATGATGTTCTTCGAAAATAATTAGTGTAATAATTATGATGTGTAGGGAGCACAAGAAAATTTAAAACAATACATTGCATTGATAAAACCCTTTATTTTTTTTTTGTGTTTTTACAATGAATTGCAATTCAAAATGTAAAGTAATATTGATAACCCACCACCGAGTAAAGCTATAAGATTAGATATTATTTTATTATAGTAGAAGCAAGCATTTGATTGTAAATTTTCAATTAACAGTTAGTAATTTTTGTAATTTTGAAATTTTTTAAATATTTGTAAGCTTGCATTAATTGTAAATTAAATGCAAAGATAAACTGAAAGATATTTTCAACAAATTCCAATATATAATGCAAGATAAAGTCAAATTTGAAACTCAATTAAAATATAACAAGAATCCGCATCTAGATTATATTGCAGAAGGATTTTCATTTTCCAAAGTAATTTGCCACAGGTCGATTATATATTCCCGATTGTTGTTATCCTTTGATTGATGTTATCATTGAATCATTCTAATCTAAAAGTTGTCTTCTTTTGACGGAAAATCGTCATCTAAAAGAATAAATCATGATTATCCGTCATCCGCATCTTTTATATTGTTAAGGTTTTTGGATGTAATTCATCCAACATATCATTTGCCAGTGAAACCGGACCTAATAATGTCCTAACTTCCGCACTTCTTTTATTTATAATTCCGCCTGATTTGCTTGGTAGCAAAAAGTTTTTATTACTTGTGCTATTTTCTGTTGGCTGTTGTAGACTGTATTTAGGTAACAGAAGCACCATTATGCAGGAAAATATAATCTATAATTTCAAGAGAAGCGCATTAATTTTTTAACGTTATTCGCATTATAAAAAGTGTGTAACAGTTAAATAATGTCTGAATAAAACTTAAGATATATTTCATATTAGCCATCTTAAGAAATTTTTGCTTTGTGGTTTTTACGATCACCTTTTATTTTTGAAAATTCAAGTGTAGTTGTAGATTAATATATCGAACGCACTTTTTCTCTCTCTCGTTTTGGAAATAGTAGAACACTAAAGAACGAATGTTAATGCCATTGCTACTATGCGAAACAACTATATATACGATGTATAGTTTATGACTATAGTTTATCACTAATAATCATATATCAATTGTTATTATTACGTTATACAAGTAAAGTAAAATTATTTTATGGTCAAATATTGCTAGAAAATTATCTATGAGTCATAATTGCTAGAAAATTATCTATGAGTCATAAAAATGACGAACAATTTTTATGGCCTCATATATTTGTAAAAAGAAATAATTTATATTGCAAATATTATAATATTGCTTTTCAAATAAAATTATGAAATAAATATTATTATAATATTCTGATTATAATTTTGATTATATATGTAATACATAATTAATCAAAATCAAAATATGTGATCCTTTTTCAATAAATGTATAAAATATATATAATCGAGCTATTTCTTTTTATCAACAATAATTTCTATGTTATGATTAAGAAAAATTAAAAGATATCTTATTCCAAAAAAGGCATGTTAAGTCGATTCTCGAATGTATCGATTTATCTCGAAATTCTCGACATGTATTGTTGCCTCCTTTTTGTCACTCTGATTGGTTTTTATGGTGTTGCATGTTTCGTGTTATTTGAGTATTATTTGTCATTTGACATCGCGAAGATTATATTGACCCTAAAATACAAAGAATTGATAAATTAATAAGAGAAAATAATTTTGAAAGGGTTAATTGTGTTCATAAAAGTATATATGTCATTAAATATATATAATATAACAGAATAAATGGCGCGCTCGCTTTGTTTTGTTCTAGTATAATATAAAAAGACAAAACAATATTATAGTATCAAATCTATACATTAAATCTATATATTAAATGTAAAGAATCATAGATAATAGAATAATTATAATAAGTAAGAAGAGAGCATTCACACATTTTTCAGCTCAATGCATAATTGCTAGAAAACTAAGAGTGTCATTCTTCATAGATCTACAGTTCCTAATAAACATTAAAAGCAGCCCCGCATTTTTTAATGTAAGGAATGTGGAAATATATAATAAAAAACTTTAAAAATTTATTTATGAATATATATATATATATATATATATATATATATATATATATATACAGGATGATCCATTTTAACTTAGGCAGCCAAATAACTCGAAAACCAAGTCCGAGAGAGAAAAATGTTTCAGACAAAAGTTGTATGGTTTCAACGGGGACATAAGATGGTACCATTGGTTTGACCTTGAAGAGTTATTTGAAGGTTACATGAAGGTCACCTTCAATTTCTTAAATGGAACCTACATTTTCTCTTTACATATTCCTGTAGCTTATCTCGAGAGCTTTCCAAAACACTATAATTAAGTACCTTTTCGTTAAGTACTTTTTGAGTTATAAGGCTTGAAATCATTTCTTAATTTTACATAAATCATAAAATATCTAGTAAAATATTCATTTTTCGATTATCTTACCTTAATACTTTTATGTACAAAATAATGAGAGGAATCAATTGGTGTAAAGAAAACATACAGTTGTTTTTAAGAAATAATATGTAATTGTTAATTGCAAATTACATATTTTTTCTTAGAAACAACTATGTGTTTTCTTTACACCAATTGATTCCTCTCATTATTTTGTACATAAAAGTAGTAATATAAGATAATCGAAAAATGAATATTTTACAAGATATTTTATGATTTATGTAAAATTAAGAAATGATTTCAAGCCTTATAACTCAAAAAGTACTTAACAAAAAGGTACTTAATTATAGTGTTTTGGAAAGCTCTCGAGATAAGCTACAAGAATATGTAAAGAGAAAATGTAGGTTCCATTTAAGAAATTGAAGGTGACCTTCATGTGACCTTCAAATAACTCTTCAAGGTCAAACCAATGGTACCATCTTATGTCCCCCTTGAAACCATACAACTTTTGTCTGAAACATTTTTCTCTCTCGGACTTGGTTTTCGAGTTATTTGGCTGCCTAAGTTAAAATGGGTCACCCTGTATATATATATATATATATATATATATATATATATATATATATAAAATGTAATATTATTTTCCGTAATAAGTCATTTATAAACACACATGATGATTTATATATTTCAACAATTTAAATAAGATCCGATACATTATTCCCATTCCACTAACATGGGACAATAATTACGTATATAATTATTCTTATACTAACAATTTCCTCTACATTTGTTATTAACAGTAGTTGCGTATATAAGTATTCCATCGTTATCGAACTACTTATATGTTATTTTTCTCCCATTATTCTACTTTAAATAGACTGTAAGATATCTAAATTGTTGGATATCTAAATTACTAAAAAGTCTGAGTCATAATGTTTAAAGAACGCAATTTTATGTATTTTTATTCCTTTCTTATATTTAAAAGTTTAAGAAAATTATAATACGTTATATTTATATTAACTGTAAAAAAATAATATTTTTGTTATCTTGTTATAATTTTATTGACGCATTTAATTATACGATTTCCTGCTTTACTTTTTTAATTTAAATTTTTAAGTTCTTCATGAACGACATTTCTAAAAAGGAACGAAAATAATATTATTAGATGTCATTATGTTTGTTATGATATATATATATATATATATATATATATATATATGCATATATATATATACAGGGTGTTAAAAAAGTATCGCATACGCTTAGTGCCATCCGATAGAGAAGGAGAATTTAAGAAAAAATGTCTAATAGTATTTTTCGATCCCATAAATAATTTCGCCGCAATTAATTATTGTAATCAATTAATCAGCGCGGAGCTACAAGAGGAAGCCAGGGGCGAAGCGCGCGAAGTCTGGCGCGACGACTAGCGCGGTAGCCGTCGTGCCGCAGACTTTGCGCGCTTCGCCCCTGGCTTTCTCTTGTAGCTCCGTGCTGATTAACTGACTTACAATAATCAATGTGGCGAAATTATTCATGGGATCGAAAAATAGTATTAGACATTTTTTCTTAAATTCTCATTCTCTATCGGATGGCATTGAGCGTATGCGATACTTTTTTAGCACCCTGTATATATATATATGTACGAGTATATGTTACTCATATATGTATATAAATTGTTATATATTATACGAATATACGTATAATTTTCATATTTCGCTTCATTCGTAATCATCATATTAAATTTTTAATTATTTTTACTTTATTTATTTCATTAATTTTAATCATTTTTACAAATTTATTTATAAATTGTAATTGTATCTATCTAGTAGTAGACATCTATCTATAGTTGACATAAAAAATCGTTTGCCTATATAGTTGTCGATGCAAAAGGTTGTAAATCAAAAAATATTTATTACTTTTTAACTCTTGCGTTTACAATTTGACTTAAAATATTGAATGATAAGCAAATAGAATCAATGTTATAACAATGAAAATGTATAGTTAGCTTGTTCAGTAAGGACTGTTATTCGCGAAAATTTGTTGCATACAAAATTATCTAGAATTTTATATAAAATTTATATATAACATTTAAAAAATGAAATTTTTTGTCTTATTAAAAAAAAATCAAATATTACTATCCAAATTTGTGTGCAATATGTTACAATTTTTCATAAAATTTTCCATTTATATTACATATAAATACATATACAGAATTTCAACGCAAAATTTCAACATTTTAAAAAGCTATATCTCCACAAGTTATTATCCCATATCAGTAAGCAGCAAATTAAGAACGATGATAAAAATGTATCCTTGATACGTGTAGTTATTATCCAAATTTTGAAAATTAGTGGTATTAGGAATTAATGATTACTTGTAAAAGTAATAATTTTGTATACTAATCTTTGTAAAAACTTCTTGACATCTTTTCTGTCTCTTTCTTTCTCTGACATATGATATAGATCTTTATATGTCCTGCCGTATATGTAAAAATTTTGTATATTTAATCTGAAATGTTGGACTCTGTAGCTGACACATTAATTATCTTAATATAAAATTATTATGATAAATGCATATTATTCATTTTTATTGCAACTCTGAGCATGGTGACTATTCAGGAACAACAGCGACGCCAAAGCTGCAATTATTAATAAAGTCTGATAAATTGGAATAATGAAAATATACCTGAGAAATGCAATATATAACATTATATATAATATAATTTATATATAACATTTGAAAAATGGAATTTTTTGTCTCATTTAAAAAAATCAAATATTACTATCCAAATTTGTGTGCAATATGTTACAATTTTTCATAAAATTTTTCATTTATATTATATATAAATACGTATACAGAATTTCAACGCATTTCAACATTTTGAAAAGCTATATCTTCACAAGTTATTATCCCATATCAGTAAGCAGCAAATTATGGACGATAATAAAAATTATCCTTGACACGTGTAGTCAACTTCCAAAACACTGTTCTCGGTCGAGACTGTCATCGCAATCATAATGAAAATTACTACCTAGAGAAAAGAAATATAAGAAATTCTTAATTTTAATTAAATAGCAAAGAAGAAAATAATATCAAAAATATGTTCGTTAAGTATGAATAAATTTTATTCCTAATAATGAAAATATATAATTATTATATAAAAGTTTGAAAGGGCAGATAAGTAATCCGTAATTTCGAAGGTATTATTAATGAAAGATTTCATACTGCCGCCATTATTTTGTCCTTTATAAAGCTTCCGAAGTTGAGAAAATCGACTGATGAATCTGTTATGTACGTCCAGACCCTTGAATGGATGGACATAATAGAACGAAGAACATAAACTATTTACCCCGTGACACACTTTATAAGGGCGTGTCTATGGATCGAATCGAGCGAATTATAAAGGGCCTGACACAAATCAATGACCAAAATGGTCTCTATAACTCCGCTTTTCTTTTAGGCCAATCCGCTTAGCGGTCCCTTTTCGGATAAAGGAACCTAATCTTTCTTACGCGGGTTGGAATCTAGCACGATCTCGGAATTCAGGGAAGAGAACGGGTTAAATAATTAAATTATATATTAAATGAGAAATGCAATATATTATTTTTAAAAATATAGAAAGAATAAAAAA